GCAGTGGTTTTTATACTTTTCCTCGTTAAATAAGATTTGGTTCAGGTGATCACCTAATCAGTACCTAATTCAGTAGAATGAGGTGTGCCTGTGTTGGAATTCAACAGACACTGGAATGGAATGGCTGTCATACATGTAGAGATAGTGATTTAAGAAGAAATTGCAGTGGTCTCTTAATTTTTTCCAGATATATAGCTATATATTAGTTGATTTTATTAAAACAAATGGGGTGTGTCAATATATGGAAAAATACATTGATAACATTTCTACTAATCGATTGGTTGAAAGAAAAGACTTGGTTGACCAAGGTTATTATTTTTTTGTCTGGGACAGTCCTAAAAATGTAGGCTATATGATAATGCAATGGCAAATGACCGGTTTTGTCTTTCTCTCCATTTCCCATGACCTGCAAATTCTCACCAATCAGTGTTGTCCAGTTGGGAAGCTCTTTCTCAGCCTTGGTGTCATTGGCTACATTCTTGTGATCAGCACTAACTAGTGTTGCATGGTATTCTGAAACTTTGGTACTTTTTTGATACTAGAACATGAAAAATGGTTCGGTACTAGAATTTGTTAATTTTGGTTAGGGTTGGGCGGTATGCAGATACCTTCACAAGGGGTGCTATTTTTTATTTATTTTTGAAACTTAAAGGCCCCAAAACCGTCACTTACCAGAATGCTAACAAAATGCTAACAAGTACTAAGGAATCCTCATAGAGTATGCTAACAAGCGCTTTGTAAACATTTTGTACAGTTTCTGACCTAAACTATACACGCTCTGGATAAGAGCGTCTGCTAAATGACTTAAATGTTAAAGTAACTCAAAGGCTACATAGTTTGCCGCACGCACAAAACGAATATTAGCCAGCAAGGCTCATGATCCAGGAGGGGGTTCTCTGCTGTTACCAAGTGAATGCTTGATTTTTGGAAGAAGCTAGCTAACCACTTAGCTAGATGGCTAACTAGCTACAAAATTAGCAAAACAGATGCACAACTGCAGAGCATTTAGCACATTTTAGACAGTTAACTTAATAGTTATAAGATATCTAGCTGGCAAGCATTTAGTTGTGAATTCCATACTGTAATTAGATCACCTGGCGCATGCTGCACAACAGTGAGTGACTCAAGGCTCCGGTCTCTCGTTTTGTTTGTAAACAAACATCACGTGACTGGGGACTACCATATGCTACATAATAATGTAATAGGTGAAATGAAGAACGCAATGTTCTTTATCTCCTAACGTATTGCACAAGTTGACTAGGTATTTACTTAAGTAGCTACAAATATTCATATTTATTAAACTTCAAAGAAATAGTTTCAACTTTATTAACTGTATTGAAAAACCATCCTGTGGCTTTTTCTAAATACCCTGGCATACGGTATATACGTATATATGGTATACCGCTCAAGCCTAGTAGCTGAGTTTGTCTGGATCAAGTGCCATTCTGTGACATTGGTTTATTAATATGCCTTTTTTGCAGTGGTATCGTTTTGGTATTGAGTATCGAGAATTGTGATATAAAACCCTATATCAAAGTCAATTCTGTTATCGGGACAACACTAGCACAAACCCTCTATGCAAAAGTAATTTATGCTAGTACAGTCACCACCACATTAATCACATCCTCTGTGCTTTAAGTCTGGGTTCAATAGTTGCAAAAAACGTGGGTAGTTTTACTTATCTTGGTCATTCAGTTTGAAAGAGAATATGGGAACTTCCCGGTTTCCTTTTTGCATTGTGACCCTAAACTGCCCTAAAGAGGTAGGAGGGGGATTCCCTCTATCTAGTCATCAGTTAAGACACCTGCTAAACTACACTGCTCAAAAAAGGGAACACTAAAATAACACATCCTAGATCTGAATGAATGAAATAATCTTATTAAATACTTTTTTCTTTACATAGTTGAATGTGCTGACAACAAAATCACAAATTATCAATGGAAATCAAATTGATCAACCCATGGAGGTCTGGATTTGGAGTCACCCTCAAAATTAAAGTGGAAAACCACACTACAGGCTGATCCAACTTTGATGGAATGTCCTTAAAACAAGTCAAAATGAGGCTCAGTAGTGTGTGTGTGTGTGGCCTCCATGTGCCTGTATGACCTCCCTACAACGCCTGGGCATGCTCCTGATGAGGTGGTGGATGGTCTCCTGAGGGATCTCCTCCCAGACCTGGACTAAAGCATCCGCCAACTCCTGGACAGTCTGTGGTGCAACGTGGCGTTGGTGGATGGAGCGAGACATGATGCCCAGATGTGCGCAATTGGATTCAGGTCTGGGGAACGGGCGGGCCAGTCCATAGCATCAATGCCTTCCTCTTGCAGGAACTGCTGACACACTCCAGCCACATGAGGTCTAGCATTGTCTTGCATTAGGAGGAACCCAGGGCCAACCGCACCAGCATATGGTCTCACAAGGGGTCTGAGGATCTCATCTCGGTACCTAATGGCAGTCAGGCTACCTCTGTCGAGCACATGGAGGGCTGTGCGGCCCCCCAAAGAAATGCCACCCCACACCATGACTGACCCACCGCCAAACCGATCATGCTGGAGGATGTTGCAGGCAGCAGAACGTTCTCCACGGCGTCTCCAGACTCTGTCACGTCTGTCACATGTGCTCAGTGTGAACCTGCTTTCATCTGTGAAGAGCACAGGGCGCCAGTGGCGAATTTGCCAATCTTGGTGTTCTCTGGCAAATGCCAAACGTCCTGCACGGTGTTGGGCTGTAAGCACAACCCCCACCTGTGGACGTCGGGCCCTCATACCACCCTCATGGAGTCTGTTTCTGACCGTTTGAGCAGACACATGCACATTTGTGGCCTGCTGGAGGTAATTTTGCAGGGCTCTGGCAGTGCTCCTCCTGCTCCTCCTTGCACAAAGGCGGAGGTAGCAGTCCTGCTGCTGGGTTGTTGCCCTCCTACGGCCTCCTCCACGTCTCCTGATGTACTGGCCTGTCTCCTGGTAGCGCCTCCATGCTCTGGACACTACGCTGACAGACCCAGCAAACCTTCTTGCCACAGCTCGCATTGATGTGCCATCCTGGATGAGCTGCACTACCTGAGCCACTTGTGTGGGTTGTAGACTCCGTCTCATGCTACCACTAGAGTGAAAGCACCGCCAGCATTCAAAAGTGACCAAAACATCAGCCAGGAAGCATAGGAACTGAGAAGTGGTCTGTGGTCACCACCTGCAAAACCAGTCCTTTATTGGAGGTGTCTTGCTAATTGCCTATAATTTCCACCTGTTGTCTATTCCATTTGCACAAAAGCATGTGAAATTTATTGTCAGTCAGTGTTGCTTTCTAAGTGGACAGTTTGATTTCACAGAAGTGTGATTGACTTGGAGTTACATTGTGTTGTTTAAGTGTTCCCTTTAATTTTTTTGAGCAGTGTACTAAGACTTAATTTTAGGTTCAGGAAATGGATGTTTATCTCAAATTAATAGTACAATCCGGAGTCTGTTTCAGCTCAAATGCACATGATTTACTTACTTTGCCTATTTTGTTGATAATTGAATAGGACTAATAAATAGCCTAATGCATGGCTGACTACTACTGTCTGCATTTATTCCAGATGAGGGTAGGCTAATTCACTTGGCCCATATATTGTTTCAATTTCGAGAGGAGCAAAACTTTTCTCTCCCGACACTTATGCCACATTTCTACAATCTACATTTTGTCATTTTTATTTTCTAATGATCTGTCGCTCAATAAACATGCCTGGGTGAGAATAAATAATAATAGGCTTGGATAACGACATAAGGACAGACATCATCAGCAATGGAATAATGACTAAGTAGGCCTACTAAACTACGCGAAGTAGACAGAATATGGCTTCAGCAAAGTCGACAGGGAAAATGAGAGCGGAGGGAGAGCTTGGACTCAGCAGGCTCAACCAATACCCCGCCCATTTCTTTAGACGGAAGATTACTGTTTTCCGATCACTGATAATTGCAAAAAATACTTGTCATAATCGTATTCGGAAAATTCTCCATATCCGTTACGATACTCGTTTTGTCCGAGTACTCAGCACACCCCTAGTCTAGAGGATTTGTAAGGGGCCGGACAGACAGATTTTGTATCCTTCAAAAACGAATAGGCTAATGGTTTTTCAATGGAGCTCATACGTTGACAACTGAGCGCCTCCATAGTTTGGTCCTTAGTTTTACATATGAAACTCTCCTGAGTTTTTACCGTCAAAAGTTTGTCTGAACTTTGAGGGGACAAAACGGTTTGACATTTTGTCTGTTTGCATCAGTCTGTCTGACCTAACTCTTCGCCTACAGCAGTGATTACAAAATTGTCTATTTTGATAATTTGGTGATTCATTCTCCTGTAATCATTATTCTGTTTGCACCTTTTCTATTACATTTCAGTAAATTCAGTCCTGAGACTCAGTCTTGTGTATTGGGCCTTAAACCTTTTTTTGTTTTGTTTTTTTGTGGTGAATGAGTTATTAGTGGATGGATTTATTAACTACAAGTAATATAACATCCTATAAATGTGTATATATAACTGATGGAAGACCAAAGGCGCCAATAGTTTGGGTTACTTATTTGATGTAGCAACAGTAACTAGGTCAGCAGGATAAGGATGTCCTGGCAATGTTATTATCCATTTAGTCTCTGGAAAGTCAAAGCTCAGCTAGCACAGCTGCTGGATTGCTATAGCAACCTGGCCTGATAACCAGATGAACCGCCCCTTCCTTGTCCTGTAGTAACCCCAGCTGACATCTGCATTGTTTGTGTGTGGTGCAGAAGTGTGTGCTCACAGCATCATCCAAGAGAAGAGGGAGGAAATGGTATTTCACCAACTGCAGACCCATTCCCCTCCCTCTTGCATTCATTTGGCTGACGTGACCGTCTATGTGGGACGAGTCTTGTGGTGTGAGCCCTTTCAGCCAATGAAAAGGGCTGTAGTGTTGGAATACTAGTGGGGGAAGTGTGCAAGGATGTCTGCAGGAAAGAGGCTAGCGCTGAGAGGGTGGGGTTTTGGAGGAGGGACAAACTCAGAGTTTGAAAATGAATGATGTGTTAGAGACTGACGCCAGCATATTTTGTGTCTAGCGGCTGACAGAATACAACGCGTGTTTACGCAGACCATAGCAGTCCAGAGAACCGGCAACCAGAACTGAAACAAGAGATCAGAAGTTTGCTTACTAGGATGCACTGTAAGTCCTTCTACATGATTTAGAATTAGATGTACAGCCCATTCACTTGGGTAGCCTAAATCTCACAGGCAACCGCTTACGTCAGTTGATACGTATGATCTTTATATCAATAATCTTCTGGCTTTGGCTTTTGGGAAGGCATTTCTCTAGCATCACTGGGCTCTTTTTAAAGGTGTGGCATTTCCTTTAGGATGTGACCTGATGGTTCCTTTGTACCATCAGTATTTACATTTGAGTCCCTCTGTCTGTGTTCTTCGTTTTAAATTTGAACCATGTCCTTAAGGTTTAGTTCTTACATTAACAGTACGTTATTGAATTCAAAACAACTCATGTACTACTGCTATGAAGGCTGATATGTGGTACTGGTTCATCCACCTCACTAGCCCATGTGGTTAGCAGGTATGTGTGCTGGCTGGGATGCAGCATCCAGCCCTCCATGTAGAGCTAATAGGACAGGGTAGGGTGAGGCAGAAAGAATTACTGGGACTCCTTGCCAGGCTGCTGCTGCCAGAAACAGCAGTTGGGTGGATGGATTGATGGGAACTTGATTCACCCCCAGTGTTTGAGCAGCCTTAGAAACAGGTCCAGGCAGAAGGGTGAGATGGCCATCTGGGAGAGGCAGGCAGAGCGAGAGATGGGAAGGAGAGGGATTTGATAAATGTAGCAAGTGCTTTCTTTGCATCTGAAATTCTCTAAAATGTTGGGTATTTAAATGCTGTGTGGGTGGAGAGAGGGCTTGGTTTTTGTGTGTGGGGAGACCCTGCTTGGTTTTGGAGACGCCCAGTTTTGGGGAGGATTTGTTTCAGTTGTAGTTAATGCTGGTGTCTGAGAATATATTTAATGTGACTTTTTCAAGAAAAGCCTCTACTCAAATTAGCCAAACAGTCTATGGTTGCAATCAGTTTTTGAATGGACATCATTTGGCAGTTATGTGTACTGGACATACTGTTTGGGACCTAATCCTCTCTTAATTGAGTGGAACGAGGCAGTCATTTGCTATTGTGATGAAACTGTGCGCAATGAAGTGCTGCACGATATGGGCAAAAATCTAATTGCTATAAAAAAAAAAATATTACAAATATTGCGATTTGATATGCAATATGGATCAAAACACTTGGGTGAACTGTTGGAATCATAGAAATACAATGATTTATATTAAGAAGCAAAGCCCCAAGAGGAGAGAATCAAGTAAACAATAAAAACGGATGCTGCGCCTCATATTGCATGCGATAATGATCTCTCGCGATATGGATATTGCACATGTCAATATTCCAATGCGATTTTGATTAATTCTGCAGCCCTAGCACAATGCTAAATCCATCTGAGCTGTACCCAGTGAGCATTGAGGGAATCTTCATGGCAGGCCATCAGCAGGGATGTGCAACATCATTCAGGCATTATAATGAACTGGGCCTGGTGGGTCGGGTGGTGACCACCCATTCAAATTGAGGACCACAAAAACCTGTTGACTGCATGCTTTTTGGTCAGTGCATGCATTGCAGAGTGAATCTTGAGCATGAGGAACTGCCTGCTTAAGTGATGGGGCGGGGCTTGGTGTGTGGGGGATTGGGATGTGGCCAAACAAGAGCACTCCATCAACTCTAGTAATAAATTAAAAGTAAAAAGAACTGACCGACAGCAAAGTGGCGTTTCAAAATATCGCAGCCTCTTGCAATATGGATTATCGTGCAGCCCTAGCACCCACCCCCGTACATTACAGCCATGCAGCGTGAGCCCTGGCCACAGCTGTGTCTGATTGTGTGACCATGGGGAATCTTGCAGCTGCTCTGTTACTGGTGGAAGGAAGAAGAGAGTACAATGGCAACTATTGTAGGGGGGCTGTCGGGTGTAAGCGGTGAGCTCACTCCATGGCATCTGCCTCCTTGGCTGGGCTGAGACAGGCTCTGCAGGAATGGGTAATGAGCTGACAGCAGTGTCACCGAGGGAGCAGGGAGGTAGAATCTATCAATCTGCTGAGGTACGGCCCATAAACCATGAATCAGATTTTTATTTTATTTTTTTACAACCAACCACTCAGCACCAGGTTATGAAATTTGACTGAGTTTTAATAAGGGTTTGCTGCACCCTGTCCCTGGCTCAGGAGAATGTTTCTGCTCTGTGACCTCCCCATGGAGGCTGTTTTCTTTCCTCCTGCCGCTGCTTAATTGTCCTCAGCTGGTGAACTAAGATGGCCTATTGTGGAATAGGCTAAAAGGGCCGATGGTATGTGTTTTCAATGCACAGAGAGCCAGGCCTAGATAAACAGGACCGCAGCCGGTGTTGGCTCTCCAGCAAGGGGGTCGAGTCGATGGTGGAGCGGGGTTACGTGGTCGTGGTTATTGTTCTACAGCGCTGACGTGTTTCCTGTGCCGTGTTGATGACAGATGGGACGTGCGCTCTGCTCAGCTCTCCCCCTCTTGGTTAACCTCCCACAATGGAACAAACAGATCAACAGGGGCCGAACTGTGCTCCGTTTGAGTCTCTTTCACACAGATGGAGCCATTGAAGTTCAATAACCAGAGGATGAACGAGCCAGCCAAATGAGTCCATCTTATGCAACCTCTGCTGCCCCGTTGTCGTCATGTGTCCACATGGCTTTATATCTCTGAAAGGGGGTTTCATAACACGATTAGGCCTAAATGTTAATTTAGGCTTCTACTGATTTTAGGAAACGACCACATTGAATAAACATGGTTTATTAGTTTTGGCTGAAAGCAATTACTTAAAAGGAAGCCTCATTTGTTAAAAAAAAGCACAGTTCAGTCTACAGTAGCTGTTTTTGTAATGGCACCTCTTGGATCTGTCAAATTATGACGTCAGTGAACTTCAGGTCGGGAAGTCTGAGCTCTAGAAAGTTTCCGAGTTGGATGACCGTTCAAAACTATTTTCCCCGGTCGGATCTTGTTTCTTTCGGAGTTCCCAGTTGTTTTGAACACTGCATTAGTCTCAGCAGAGAGAGGGTCTGCCTCTCACGGTCCCTGCTCTCTCCTTCCTTTCCTTCGGTGAGGCTGACTAGAGAGAGGGGACACAGTCTTCCACCGGATGGTGAAACTCGAGTCTCACCGCATCTGCCTCAGGTACAAGTTCATGTTGTTCCTATGACTAGACAAAGTGAAATATTCCTCGATATTAAAATAGACATGACGAGCTGCTAATAATAATAAAAATGCAGGGCTATTGATACTCATTCATTGCAACTGCAGCGCGAGTGGAAGTAGAGAAGCATGTTTTATGTTTTGTAATAGTGTTTGAATAAAGTGTTGACAGTGCTGAATAAAACTTAGACATGAACTCGCGCATAAAAACAGCAGCTCTTTGCTGTGTTCTTTGACAGTCTCTCTGGTCATGGTTTTAAAAGTTATGAAATCTCACGTAGGCTAGTATCAAACTTTGCTGGGGTTGTGGAAGCTATTGGTAGGCATGGTGATTTGAGCTATACGATTGGCCAGCGCAGTAGGCACACTCGATTTATCCAGGGATCTCCCGCTCCGCCGGGTAGGCAGAGTTTGTATTTTCGGACAAATGATATGGTTCAAAATGGGAACACTTTGCCTACCGGTGCGCATGACTTCTGAATCAAGTGCACTTACCGCCAACAGCGCAACACAGGGGGAAAAAAGGAGCGCAAGCCTTTATGCCTTTATCGTTGGCTTTTCTACAGAAATGTTTGGTGATGGACTAGGATGCCTTGAACATCGATCGACTGGTTGGTGACCACTGCCTTAGAGCTATTCATAACTACAATAACAAGAAAATGAGCTTTAAAACGGCCAAATTCTCTGCACCCCATGATAATGTGTAGAATTGCAGAAAATTAGCTTTAAACCTGCTACATTTTCTCTCCACCAACAAGAGGTGTGTGAACAGTTTGTCATGAACAGTGCTTGTGCCCATAGAAATAGACTGGGTGCGGGATGTTCCCCATTGCTGGTTGGGGGGCCTGAGTGAAAACGTTTGGGAACCCCTGCTCTAAGGAAGGACTGATGCTCTTTGTGTCACATTTGTCTCGAAGCCTGACCGAAACTTCAGACACTTACCGCTGGGGAAACTCTGTCCCTGAGATTTGTGTGTGGGTCATGTGTGAATGAGTCATATGCTGTGTCTTACACTGTCCCCTATCTCCATCTCTCTTCCCCCCGCAGTTACTGTGTGTGAGCCTACTGCCATGTCCACAGCTGTGGTGATGGACCCCCCCAGGGACGTCAGCTACCTGCGGTCACCCTGTGGCATCGGGGACAGCGTCGCCTCACTGGATGACGTCACTGTGGATTTCATAGCCAAGTACGTACCTGGATTGAAACCATTATCTGGTCCGATGGCGTGACGCTTGTTTGGACTGTTGATCGAAAGGCTCTCGTCACACAGGAATGATGCAATCTGATAGGGTGCTGGTCATTGTTTCCTGTCACTGTCTTAACACCTCCACATCAAATGACTGCGTACAGAGATATTTGACCTACTTCATCACACAAAGATGACAGGGCACATTCCTTACACTTTGTCATGTCAACATTGTAAACTGGTTTCGAAAGAATGTGCTGTCAGTTAACAAGACAGGTTCTTTACCTTCTGACACTGAAAGGCTTCATCTTAGACATGGCAGTGGAATGCAGCAGGACAGGACTGGGAATCCACTTAACATTGTTTATAACGTTTTTCCCCTCAGTGAGTCATCAGAGGAGGAGTCAGCCGGTGAGAGGGAAGAGGAAATTGGGGCCAACACTGAGCTCACCAACCACCCCACAGACATCCCTACTGAACAGCCCACACACACAGAGACTGGTGAGCTGACATATACAGACACACATTTACATGGCAAACACCACAAGGAGAGCATTTTAGAAAGGATGCAAAACAATGTAGGAAACTGGCTTACAACTGTTAGTGTACACAAACTGGTTCACACACACTCTTGAGGTTGGCACTTGGGTACAGAAGGTATACCAGTACATTAATTGTGAGGTAGACAAAATTCATTGTCCCATTTTTAACTTTGAGGAAATGGGCCAAAGGGAAGTGAAGTGAGGTCCCAAACTTCCCTTTCCTGTCTCCTCTGGCCAAGAACATTCAGTCATCAACATTCCTAATGCCCTAAGTATGAAAACTATATTAGGGGGGGCTGGCGTTTAGAAATCCCCATCCTAAAGCTATTCAAAACTTCAAATGAATAAATTAATTCACATTTCAAAGTGTTGAGATTTGTCAGTTTGTCAGTAAACCCTATGTTGCTCTTAAATCAGTGGAGCTTTCTCTTCCATCACATCCACCTGTAGCATGAGGATCTGGCTGAGGCTGGCACCATGGCCTTGCGCGGCTGTTGAATAAAGAAGTGTTTGGTCATAAACAGTCCCCCCCTGAATTCCCAGGAGGTTCAACCCACAGCTCTGTGCTGTTGACAACACACAGCAACACGGTGCTCTATGAAAACGGGGTCAGCATAACACCAGGCCAAATGATCCCTAGCTTCTCTGTTGCTATTTCAGTTTTATACTTCTTTCAAAAGCTTCAACATATTGGATTATCTATAGTTCCAGTCTTATCATGGTGACCTTTCAATTTTTTTTATTAAGACTGCTAATAGTACTAGGTGAGTTAGAGCTTCTGTTTCTCTGGCTAACCTAGCATAGCAGGCGTAAAATAAATACCTGAAACTACACTACATACAGTGGGGGAAAAAAAGTATTTAGTCAGCCACCAATTGTGCAAGTTCTCCCACTTAAAAAGATGAGAGAGGCCTGTATTTTCATCATAGGTACACGTCAACTATGACAGACAAAATGAGAAAAAAATCCAGAAAATCACATTGTAGGATTTTTTATGAATTTATTTGCAAATTATGGTGGAAAATAAGTATTTGGTCAATAACAAAAGTTTCTCAATACTTTGTTATATACCCTTTGTTGGCAATGACACAGGTCAAACGTTTTCTGTAAGTCTTCAAGGTTTTCACACACTGTTGCTGGTATTTTGGCCCATTCCTCCATGCAGATCTCCTCTAGAGCAGTGACGTTTTGGGGCTTTCAACTCCCTCCAAAGATTTTCTATGGGGTTGAGATCTGGAGACTGGCTAGGCCACTCCAGGACCTTGAAATGCTTCTTACGAAGCCACTCCTTCGTTGCCCGGGCGGTGTGTTTGGGATCATTGTCATGCTGAAAGACCCAGCCAAGTTTCATCTTCAATGCCCTTGCTGATGGAAGGAGGTTTTCACTCAATCTCACGATACATTCATTCTTTCCTTTACACGGATCAGTCGTCCTGGTCCCTTTGCTTAAAAACAGCCCCAAAGCATGATGTTTCCACCCCCATGCTTCACAGTAGGTATGGTGTGCTTTGGATGCAACTCAGCATTATTTGTCCTCCAAACACGAAGAGTTGAGTTTTTACCAAAAAGTTATATTTTGGTTTCATCTGACCATATGACATTCGCCCAATCCTCTTCTGGATCATCCAAATGCACTCTAACAAACTTCAGACGGGCCTGGACATGTACTGGCTTAAGCAGGGGGACACGTCTGGCACTGCAGGATTTGAGTCCCTGGCGGCGTAGTGTGTTACTGATGGTAGGCTTTGTTACTTTGGTCCCAGCTCTCTGCAGGTCATTCACTAGGTCCCCCCGTGTGGTTCTGGGATTTTTGCTCACCGTTCTTGTGATCATTTTGACCCCACGGGGTGAGATCTTGCGTGGAGCCCCAGATCTAGGGAGCATATCAGTGGTCTTGTATGTCTTCCATTTCCTAATAATTGCTCCCACAGTTGATTTCTTCAAACCAAGCTGCTTACCTATTGCAGATTCAGTCTTCCCAGCCTGGTGCAGGTCTACAATTTTGTTTCTGGTGTCCTTTGACAGCTCTTTGGTCTTGGCCATAGTGGAGTTTGGAGTATGACTATTTGAGGTTGTGGACAGGTGTCTTTTATACTGATAACAAGTTCAAACAGGTGCCATTAATACAGGTAACGAGTGGAGGACAGAGGAGCCTTCATGATCTCATCATGGTATGTGTGCGTTCAAATTGCCATCAATAAAATGCAATTGTGTTAGTTGTCCGTAGCTTATGCCTGCCCATACCATAACCCCACTGCCACCATGGGGCGCTCCGTTCACAACATTGACATCAGGAAACCGCTCACCCACACAACGCCATACAAGTGGTCTGCGGTTGTGAGACCGGTTGGATGTACTCTAAAACAACATTGGAGGCAGTTTATGGTAGAGATGAACATTCAATTATTTGGCAACAGCTCTTATGGACATTCCTGCAGTCAGCATGCCAATTGCGCGCTCCCTCCGAACTTCAGACATCTGTGGCATTGTTGTGTGACACAACTGCATGTTGTAGTGGCCTTTTTATTGTCCCCAGCACAAGATGCACATGTGTAAGGGTCATGCTGTTTAATCATCTTCTTGAGATGCCACACCTGTCATGTGGATGGATTATCTTGGCAAAGGAGAAATGCTCACTACATGTTTTGTTTATATTTTCAGTGTAGATTTCCTACATACTGGTCTTAAGGAAAAGAGACAAAACTGTCGGGAGGGTTCTTCTGCAATGTAAAACCAATTCAGTAAATGTGGAGGAGGAGTTAAGATGGAACATCATCTTGTTAACGTCCAAAAGCGGAAGTCGCTTGACTCGTCACAGGCTCGCTTTCAATTTCCCCTGAAAACCGGAATATCCATTGAGGATGTTGAGGACTCTGCAGAGGCTAGTTTCTGGCTAATGGGCCCCCATTTTTAAAATAACTGGCGCTAATATTTGTATTATGTTTTTTTACAGAATTAATTATTGAACAGGACAGTCTGATAACTAGCTCTGAGGGGTTCACAGTTCAGTCTCCTGCCCTGTTAGTCCCTACTAGTGGGAGCTCTCCTTGTGCGGCCTGTGTGCCCGGACTCTGTAGGGGCTGCCAAGGCAGTCATTGGGATCCCCTGTCTGGCCCTCCCTTGTTTTGTCTGGTGTTGGGCTGATTGGCGACTCACACTGGGCCTGGTGTGTGTACCGGCAGAGACTGGGGGCCAGGGTCAGCACAACCCACTGCCTCTGGCTCTCCACAAACACTGCAGACAACAGCGGAGCAAACACGAGGACAAACGGCTACTGGGATTTAAGACCAGAAGTCAGAGCAGCCTCCCTGTCACGAGAATTTCTATCTCTAATTAAACTCAATGCTTTGAATAATTCCCAGAGGGTGTAAGGCTCTGGTTTAATCATGAATTAAACAAGGTCCAGAGTCAGCAAGAATCATCAGTATGTTTATTCATGAGAGCTCTGGTGCCCAAACACACACACACAAAGGAACTTAGCTCCGCCCACCTTTAGGCGGCCTGTACATTTCCACAGTCTAACCCACTCTGTTAGTGGGTTTATAATGATAACCCTAACACAGTTTACACAGTCATCAGTATCGGGGTGGAACAATTTGTCATTAACCATAATTCCTCTCACTCCCTCATGTCCCTAAAGAGGGTCTAAGCTAATTTCTGTGAGTGCCTGTGTAAGCAGGAGGCACGCCATTCAAAGTGATTGGTTGGACTTCCTCGTGGGGTTTGGGAGCCGTTTGACAGATTGATTTGTATGTGTCTGCATACTGGGCATTTACGCCCATCACCAATGTTCCTTCTAAGTTGCGGGTGCTCACAAAATGTGTATATTTCTAGCCATCTTTGAAAAGTGAGTCAGGTAAGAGCTTTTTTATGTCTTAAAGGGGCAGTGTTTTATTTTGGGACAGGCTTGACTAAGCTAAGCTGCCAATTGGCGGAGGGTAGCATACAGTGAGGGAAAAAAGTATTTGATCCCCTGCTGATTTTGTACGTTTGCCCACTGACAAATAAATGATCAGTCTATAATTTGAATGGTACGTTTATTTGAGTGAGAGACAGAATAACAACAAAAAAATCCAGAAAAACGCATGTCAAAAATGTTATAAATTGATTTGGATTTTAATGAGGGAAATAAGTATTTGACCCCCTCTCAATCAGAAAGATTTCTGGCTCCCAGGTGTCTTTTATACAGGTAACGAGCTGAGATTAGGAGCACACTCTTAAAGGGAGCCAGAAATCCACCATGGCCAAGACCAAAGAGCTCTCCAAGGATGTCAGGGACTAGATTGTAGACCTACACAAGGCTGGAATGGGCTACAAGACCATCGTCAAGCAGCTGGGTGAGAAGGTGACAACAGTTGGTGAGATTATTCGCAAATGGAAGAAACACAAAAGACCTGTCAATCTCCCTCGGCCTGGGGCTCCATGCAAGATCTTGCAATGATCATGAGAACGGTGAGGAATCAGCCCAGAACTACACGGGAGGATCTTGTCAATCATCTCAAGGCAGCTGGGACCATAGTCACCAAGAAAACAATTGGTAACACACTACGCCGTGAAGGACTGAAATCCTGCAGCGCCCGCAAGGTCCCCCTGCTCAAGAAAGCACATATACATGCCCGTCTGAAGTTTGCCAATGAGCATCTGAATGATTCAGAGGAGAACTGGGTGAACGTGTTGTGATCAGATGAGACCAAAATCGAGCTCTTTGGCATCAACTCAACTCGCCGTGTTTGGAGGAGGAGGAATGCTGCCTATGACCCCAAGAACACCATCCCCACTGTCAAACAAGGAGGTGGAAACATTATGCTTTGGGGGTGTTTTTCTGCTAAGGGGACAGGACAACTTCACCGCATCAAAGGGATGATGGACGGGGCCATGTACCGTCAAATCTTGGGTGAGAACCTCCTTCCCTCAGCCAGGGCATTGAAAATGGGTCGTGGATGGGTATTACAGCATGACAATGGCCCAAAACACACGGCCAAGGCAACAAAGGAGTGGCTCAAGAAGAAGTACATTAAGGTCCTGGAGTGGCCTAGCCAGTCTCCAGACCTTAATCCCACTGACGTTCGAGTTACCAAACATCAGCCTCAAAACCTTAATGACTTGGAGAAGATCTGTAAAGAGGAGTGGGACAAAATCCCTCCTGAGATGTAGCCACCAGGTTTGCACACAAGAAACGTCTGACCTCTGATTGCCAACAAGGGTTTTGCCACCAAGTACTAAGTCATGTTTTGCAGAGGGGTCAAATACTTATTTCCCTCATTTAAAATGCAAATCAATTTATAACATTCAAATAAACCTACCATTAAAATTATAGACTGATCATTTTTGTCAGTGGGCAAACATACAAAATCAGCAGGGGATCAAATACTTTTTTCACTCATTGTACATTTTTATCTGATCAATAATTAATGAATTCTATTTTGTAAAATGGTTTCTTGCATCAAACACAATACAACATTTTCTGTCACCTCCTTGTCTGAGTGGCTAAACAGATTCATGTCAAGGCCTGCATTTTTTTCAACCGTCTCATGGAATGTAGGCCTACATTGAACACCACACGTTGGCTGCTGCTGTAGGCTGTATCATAGAACCGCTGTTTCAATGGCTATTTCCATATTCAGATGTTATGGGATGCATTTTCTCCATTGTTTTCTCCATTGCCTACATCATGATCAAATAGTCACAGTAGCCTACTTGGCCAATGTTAAAACTAACTCAAAGTGGGTACAGCCTCAGTGTTCACAGTAAACGCATGCCAGAAGTTGCACAGAATTTTCACAACTCAGGTTTGCGCTCAGCAGACCTGAAATTTGCTCAGTGCCGGAAAAAATTGGAGGGAACATTGGCCATCACCATCACTAAAGTGTCCAGAAAGGGAAAGAAAGCACATTTTATCCACTTAATATCCCTCTTTTCTGAGGTGCTATAAAAAGTGAGTCTAGACAAAGCTCACCAATCAAACACTCCTTTCCTTCTCAATTGACTTGCCTTGGTAAAAAACTAAAACCCTCTCTCCCTCAGTGAGTGCCCATCGACCAGACTCCCTGTCCCTGGCGGTGGCTGAGCCAGAGCGGTGGACGTCCAGGGGTGACGGGGAGGTGAAGCTGAGGATGGGAGAGTCGGGCTTTGCCGCTGAGCCCTCACTTACTGTAGACCAGATGTTTAAAACTGCAGTGGAGAGGTTTGGCAGCTACACCGCCCTGGGCTGGAAGGAGGGAGAACAGACTAAGACCATCAACTACAAGGAGTACTACCAGGCCTGCCGCACCGCTGCCAAGAGCTTCCTCAAGGTGAGACTAAACACACAGACCAACTGTACTTATGGAAATCAGACCATAACTGACACTTTACTGCTGTAAATTTGGATGCCAGAACAATGTTGCAATAGGAAACGATAAGATAATGTTAGGAGTTGAGGGTTCCATACCGATAGGAGATGTAAAGTATTATAAAATACTGGTGCTCATGTCTCCACATTTCCAGTCATAACAAAGGTTTATAAATATCAGTTCCTAAAGTGCAACAAAGAAACAAAGTATGAGAACAAGTTCTCTGTTGGCAAGGCAACAATGTATCCTCAAACCAAATATGAAGCCAAGCAGAAGAGAACCACTGTGGAGGATGTGTGCCCTTTTTAAGAAGGGAGGCTTTGGATTACTTCCCCTCTAACTGATCATAGTCCACCATCCTAACCTCAGATCAGTGTGTGTTTTAACCTTGTGGTGGCCGTGTCACTGTCACCAGCATGCGTAGGGTGAGATGAAAGGTCAGTGACGTGGGAGGTAGAGGCAGCGTGCTGCTGGGGGCAACCTCTAGATGCAGGCCATGCTAGAGTGGGGCGATATGGACCAAAAATCCATATTGTGATAAATTGCCTGAATTAATGCGATAATGATAAATAGAACGATACAATTATAATATTAATGTGCAACACCGTTTTTTAATTATCCTTTAAACTACTAGTTTGTTAATGGGACAATTGATGGCTACAAACATAAATCATATCTCTAGTATAGGCTACGTATCGTGATGAACGATAGCCGCGAAATGCCTGCGATAAGTGGTCGGTGTCTAATGTTCGGTTTATCGTCCCAGCTCTAGGCCACGCTACTGTTTATTGTGAAACTCCATACTGTATACCAGAGTGAGGGCTAGGGCTGGCTCAGGCCCAGGGAAAGCCACACATCCACAAATCTCAACCTGACGGCCTCCACTTGGAAGGAGAGGGAGAACAATAGTGTCTGGGTGAGGGTGTAAGTGCTACTCTGCATTGACCCACAAACGCAGGCAAACAGCCGTACATTTCTGGTTGAAGTATCATGATGCTGTATTTTATTGCTACTCCTGTTATGAAAGACTCTAGTCATTCAAAAATAATTTTCTGGCTGTGCCTCAAGCAAGGGTTCATTTTGTTCATATTTGGTTTCGCTTCACCTTCCCCTTTTATCTGAACTCTTAGAAAAATTAATATAAACAAGCATTGTATCCATTATGTACCTCTTCTAGGTGGCAATGTGAGATCTACAGTTGAAGTCGGAGGTTTACATACACCTTAGCCAAATACATTTAAACTCAGTTTTTCACAATTCCTGACATTTAATCCTAGTAAAAATTCCCTGTCTTAGGTCAGTTAGGATCACCACTTTATTTTAAGAATGTGAAATGTCAGAATAATAGAGATTTATCTCAGCTTTTATTTCTTTCATCACATTCCCAGTTGGTCAGAAGTTTACATACACTCAATTAGTATTTGGTAGCATTGCCTTTAAATTGTTTAACTTGGGTCAAACGTTTCGGGTAGCCTTCCACAAGCTTCCCACAATAAGTTGGGTGAATCTTGGCCCATTCCTCCTGACAGAGCTGGTGTAACTGAGTCAGGTTTGTAGGCCTCCTTGCTCGCACATGCTTTTTCAGTTTTGCCCACACATTTTCTATAGGATTGAGGTCAGGTCTTTGTGATGGCCACTCCAATACCTTGACTTTGTTGTCCTTAAGCCATTTTGCCACAACTTTGGAAGTATGCTTGGGGTCATTGTCCATTTGGAAGACCCATTTGCGACCAAGCTTCAACTTCCTGACTGATGTCTTGATGTTGCTTCAATATATCCACATAATTTTCCTTCCTCATGATGCCATCGATTTTGTGAAGTGCACCAGTCCCTCCTGCAGCAAAGCACCCCCACAGCATGATGCTGCCACCCCCGTGCTTCACGGTTGGGATGGTGTTCTTCTGCTTGCAAGCAGCCCCCTTTATCCTCCAAACATAACGATGGTCTTTATGGCCAAACAGTTTGATTTTTGTTTCATCACACCAGAGGACATTTCTCCAGAAAGTACGATCTTTGTCCCCATGTGCAGTTGCAAAGCGTAGTCTGGCTTTTTTTATGGCGGTTTTGGAGCAGTGGCTTCTTCCTTGCTGAGCGGCCTTTCAGGTTATGTCGATACAGGACTCGTTCTATTGTGGATATAGATACTTTTGTACCTGTTTCCTCCAGCATCTTCACAAGGTCTTTTGCTGTTGTTCTGGGATTTATTTGCACTTTTCGCACCAAAGTACGTTCATCTCAAGGAGACAGAACGCATCTCCTTCCTAAGCGGTATGATGGCTGCGTGGTCCCATGGTGTTTATACTTGCGTACTATTGTTTGTACAGATGAACGTGGTACCTTCAGGCTTTTGGAAATTGCTCCCAAGGATGAACCAGACTTGTGGAGGTCTACACATTTCTTTCTGAGGTCTTGGCTGATTTTCCTTTGATTTTCCCATAATGTCAAGCAAAGAGGCACTGAGTTTGAAGGTAGGCCTTGAAATACATCCATAGGTACACCTCCAATTGACTCAAATGATGTCAATTAGCCTATCAGAAGCATCTAAAGCCATGACATCATTTTCTGGAATTTTCCAAGCTGTTTAAAGGCAGTCAACTTTGTATGTAAACTTCTGACCCACTGGAATTGTGATACAGTGAATTATAAATTAAATAATCTGTCTCTAAACAATTGTTGGAAAAATTACTTGTGTCATGCACAAAGTAGATGTCCTAACCGACTTGCCAAAACTATAGTTTGTTAACAGGAAATTTGTGGAGTGGTTGAAAAACAAGCATTAATGACTCCAACCTAAGTGTATGTAAACTTCCGACTTCAACTGTATGTGTACATCTTTTCTCATGCTGTGTGTGTGTGTCCACAGCTTGGCTTGGAGCGCTACCATGGGGTTGGCATTCTGGGCTTCAACTCTGCTGAGTGGTTCATATCTGACATTGCTGCCATTCTGGCTGGGTGAGTCTCTCTACACTTCTGTTCACAAGGGGGTCTGACACACTCCCTGTCACTTACACTAGCCCTGTCATGTGTTCGTGTGATGTGCAGAATGTTCCCTGCTCACTGATCTACTGTAGCCCAGTCTATATTGTGTAGGTAAGTAACTTATGTGACTACTGCCAAAGACCTGAGATCAAAATCAGATCCTATGTTCTTCGTCACATGCTTCGTAAACAACAGGTGTGGACTAACAGTGAAATGCTTACTTACGGGCCCTTCCCAACAATGCAGAGAGAAAGACAATAGAGAAATGATAGAAGAAAAAAGAACAAACACATAATAGTAATAGATACACGAGTAACGATAACTTGGCTATATACAGGGGGTACCTAGTCGATGTGCAGGGTCTTATGGCTTGGGGGTAGAAGCTGTTCAGGGTACTGTTGGTTCCAGACTTGGTGCATCGGTAGCGCTTGCCGAGCAGTCGCAATTGTTTTGTTTTTTTCATGGTGCACAAGACACCCGTCTGATTCGCGCCCGTCTCAGTGGACTAATCCATTGCGGAGGCCATGGGGATGTCACTGTCCATCACTCTAAGACGTGATGCTGAAATTGTATATGGTTATATTATGTACAAATAATGGTGCAACACTAATATCATTTTAAATAATATTATTTTATAACTAATGCACTTTCTCCCATGGTTCTGGAACATAATCTTCAGTGCGCCGTAGAATTGGCCGCCTTTCCCTATATTGCTATGTGCATAATAGAAAAGTTAACCAGCCTCTTGGGATTGAGAAAAAGGTGGCGGAGGCAGCAGCAGCAGAGATGAGGAAACAGCCCTTGCCTTAGCCTAATTGTCCAAGAAAATTGAGGAGAGCGTAAACCCCAACTTAATTAGGACTATAGTCAATAGCCTGACAGTTAAATGTGCCTGGCTTAATTTATATATATATATATATAATCTACAGCAATAAGACAGATCTTGCTTCTGTTGAGTGTTTGTTTAATAGCCTACTGATTCCGTGAGCACCAAGCCTCATGCAACAGCAAAATGTCGGATAAAGCAATTTCACAGATTCGTCTGTTTTTTATCTTTGCTATGCTGTAATAAAGGCTTTACAAAAGTTTTCATTAGAACAGACTGGTATTACTTATAATTTATTTAGTGTTTACACTGTTCCAAACAGGCAGAAAAATAATATTGTAATCTAACAAAATATGCACTCAGCTCTCACTCCTATACCCTCCCTTTTCTTGAGCTCCTTATTGTTATTATTATTATTGTCATTATAATAATGAGTAATGTCGTTATCATTCGTAGGCTTTGTGTAGTAGCTTTGTATAGTAGCCTTGTATAACCACCATCGAGCTGTAGGCCTAAGAGAGCGTCATGTTTAGTCTTAATACCGTAACTTACTTAGGCCTATATTTCAATATATAGGCTACTGTATCAATCAATCATTCATGCTTTGAAATGCAATCAAGCATTTTAGTTTTAAAATTAAATAACAAAGGGAGCTTTGAATAATTAGTCTAAACCAGGGGTGTCAAACTCATTTTAGCTCAGGGGCCACATGGAGGAAAATCTATTCCCAAGTGGGCCGGACCGGAAAAATCATGGTGTGTGTGTGTATATATCTTAAAAACAACAACTTCAGATTGTTTTCTTTGTTTTATTACGATCAACATACAACATAAAGCTGGAGCCTGAGGACAGTGTGTCCAAAATAGTACAAGCACAACATCACTATTAATCATAAAACACGTCAAGTTTATTTGAAAATTCTAAAGAAAAAGAACACACAAACACACAATGCCTCAGTGATTAACAGAACTGTTTCACAGATCACAGAACTATATCAGGGTGTCATTTCTCAGGCAGAAATGTAGATAAAAAGAATGAAATCCTGTTCCCCAAACAAGTGCAAGAACCACAGAGTCAAGAATAGGTTAAATATACAAATAAAATCAATTAAAAACAATAGTACATCAACATAAAAACATATAAACATAAATCTGAAAGCGTTGCTCAAACTCCCGTAACAGTCCCGTTATTTTATCTTTGAACCGCTTCATGTCTGCCACATGTTGGGTCGCGCACACATTTTTCAGACAGGGGAAGTGAGCTGCATCACCACCGGCAAGTTGCGTCTCCCACAATGACAGCTTCAACTTGAAAGAACGTATGCTGTCATAATACTGCGTGACAACTTTGTTGCGCCCTTGCAGCTGTTTGTTCAAGTTATTCAGGTGCTCTGTAACATCCACCATAAATGCAAGGTCCTGCATCCATTCTGCGGAATGAAATTCTAACACTGGTTTGCCCTTTTCTTCCATGAACTGTTCAATTTCTTCTCGTAAATCAAAGAAACGCCTCAGCACAGCACCTCGGCTTAACCATCTTACCTCAGTGTGGTATGGCAGGCCATAGATGTGGTCTTTCTCTCTGAGAAGGCTGTCAAACCGACGGTGATTCAGGCTTCTGGATCGGATGAAATTAACAGTTTGGATGACCACCTTCATGACGCTGTCCATCTTTAATGACTTGCAACACAAAGCCTCCTGGTGCAAAATACAGTGAAAAGTCAAAAAATCACGTCCTCCATTTGCAGATTGCACTTTCTCTCTGAACTTTGTCACAACGCCTGCTTTTTTCCCGATCATTGAGGGCGCACCATCTGTAGCCAGGCTGACAGCACGGGACCAGTCCACTCCGACCCTGTCCAGCGCGCCGACGAGTGCGGTAACAATATCAGCTGCTGTCGTTGTATCTGTCATCGGCACCAACTCCACGAACTCCTCGGTGACGGTCAATGTGTCATCAACTCCGCGGATGAAAATGGCCAGTTGTGCAACATCTGTAATGTCCGTGCTTTCATCAATTGCAACCGAAAACGCAATAAATGACTTTACTTTTTGCTTCAACTGGCTGTCCAAATCCACTGAAAGATCGGAAATCCTGTCTGCAACTGTGTTTCTTGTCAGGCTGATATTTGCAAAAGCCTGCCGCTTTTCAGGGCACACAATCTCCGCTGCCTTCATCATGCATGTTTTTACAAATTCACCCTCACTAAATGGTTTTGAAGCCACTGCGATTTCATTAGCAATGAGGTAGCTAGCTTTCACTGCAGCGTCACTGATGTCTCGGCTGTGAGTAAACGCAGACTGCTGTTTCTTCAGACCCGCCAACAGTTCATTCACCTTCTCTCATCTCCGCTGTCCTTGAAAGTTGTCATATTTGTCGGCATGAAGACTCACATAGTGGCGACGAAGGTTATATTCTTTCAGCACTGCAACATGCTCTGAACACACCAAACATACAGCTTTCCCATTCAATTCCGTGAATAAATAGGATGACCATTTTTCTTGGAACACTCTGCACTCTGCGTCCACTTTTCTCTTTTTTGACAGACATATTGGGTTAATGAGGGTGCCAAAGCACATAATGTTAAAAGTAGAAGCCGTAATAAATATCGCGGGCAAAACAAAGTAGCTCATTGGCTGCACGTGCTTGACCTACTTGCTCTGCCCCGGTATAAACAGTTTGCTTGCTTAACACAATTGCTATTGCGCCATCCAGTGGACGCAATTGGAACAGCAGTTTATTTTATTGAGAAATTGCAGCGCATTTTTATACTTTACAAAATTAATATATATATATATATTTTTTATATATATTTTTTTTAATCATCTCGCGTGCCGGATTAAACCCGTTTGCGGGCCTGGTCTAAACAATAAATAAACCGCAATTCACAAATGCATGCAACTGTTTTTAGTCTGCTGTAATACAGGCTTTTTCTTTCGTTAGAACAGACTCTGGTACATTTATTTAGTGAAGAATAATATTGTAATCTATCAGCAACTGTTTGGCACACACAATACTCACGCAACGCTTGCTCCTATATGCTCCTTTTTCTTGATCTCCAGTAGTTTCCACAACTACGTCAAATGTCTTCCACAGATCTGACTTCCCCTTTCCCTCCTGAGCAACCAGTAAACATTTGCCTGTTTCAATAAAAAAAAAAAATTACGTCCTCCGCATCCATTTTGCTGTCACGTGTTCGCAGTTTGTTATAACCAATTTATTGATGCGATTATGATAGGCTGTAGGTCAGGCCCTATTGGTCACAGAGCATATGAGCGGAGTGGAGCGTGAGCGAGCGTGGAGCGTGAGCGGACGGATTTTGAATAGAGCGCAGAGCGGCATTTTTAAAAGGACGGAGCGTCGCCCTATGTCCCGCTCCAATTTCGCTCGCTCACACCACGAGTCTGAAGCATGCTCAAGCCTGACCCAGAATCTTATAGAGCGAGAGGAGCAGCAGCAGCAACAAGAGTAAAGGGTTGAGGAATTCAAAAGTTTATTCACTGCACGCAAAGGCCCAACCATAACAAGGGAGAGAAAAAGAGAGCTGGATGTAGCATTTTTTAAACGATTTTCATGGACTTTGAACCGCTGAGTAAAGGAGAACGTGAAGGGATGCAACACTTCGCCAGCGCAGCTCAACTGGGCTACACCCCCCCAAGAAACTGATAAATCAGTACTTTACTTTGTCAAATTTACATCTGAGATGCCCCATTCACATGCTTCAGCTGGCGATCAAAAACGCTGTTAACGAGCACGACAACATTAATAGGCTGTTAGTGAAAGTCGGGCACCTGGTGAAAAGTGTACGCAAGAGCACAGAGGAGACCGACCAATTAGGTGTCCGACCCACAAATGCCTGCGCCATTCGATGGAGCAGCCAGCTGCGGATGATTCAGTCGTTCATCCGGTTGTTCCAAAAAGACCCGTTATGGCAAAACAAACTCAAGTCTAATGTTGCTAACATCACCCTGAATCAAGTACGGCAGCTGACGCACCTTGTCAGTGTGCTGACACCACTAGCAGACCTCACAGACAAAATGCAGAAGGAGCTGGGGAACCTGGGGATGATCCTCCCTGCTGTCACAGAAATCAAATCCCTGCTCACCGATTACACTCACGCTGCACTTCCAATGGGCATCGCTGCTTTTGCAGAAACATTGGCAAACAACGTGTGAATTCGCTATGGAATATACTATACTGATTAACATCTCATTTTAGCGTCAGTGTTAGATCCCCGTTTCAAGACGGAATGGATAATCCGAGATGAGTCTGTATGCAACAAATTCGGGGAGATAAAGTAAGGCTGTGGTTTTAAGCTAAAAGTGAAATACATGCAGATTTTGTTCCTTTTTTGGAGTGAGCGGGGGCGATTTGAGTGGAGCGCGATGCAAACTGCGTTGAGCGCTGAGCGATAATGAGCGGACTGGCCTGATGTGGCTTTGAGCGGGGGGAGCGGAGGGGTGAACAGCTCCGTGAGCGAGGAGCTGAGATTCTCACCGCTCCACTCCGCTCATATGCTCTGATTGGTCACATGCATGCAACGCTTACATGTTTCACAAAGAGAGCAAGGGTTGAGGGAATAGGGAATGTTTTTCCTAAACAAATGAGGGATTTTAGTAACGGAACTTTTCAGTCAAACAAGTAAGAAACGAAATGGAGGAAATTATGTTGCAGCTTCAGCACGGACAGCGCAATAAACACTTGCTGTGGTGCCTTTTCGCTGCAGGAGAGGCGCAGCCGGAAATTATACTGAACAAAAATATAAACGCAAAAATGTCAAAGATTTTACTTGCGTTACTGTTCATATAAGGAAATCAGTCAATTGAAGTACATTCATTAGGCCCTAATCAATGGATTTCACATGACTGGGAATACAGATATGCATCCGTTGGTCACCTTGAAAGAAAAAAAATTGGCCTCAGGATCTCATCACGGTATCTCTGTGCGTTCAAATTGCCATCGATAAAATGCAATTGTGTTCGTTGTCATAGCTTATGCCTGCCCATACCATAACCACACCGCCACCATGGGGCACTCTGTTCACAACATTGACATCAGCAAACCGCTCGCCCACACAACACCGTACAAGTGGTCTGCGGTTGTGAGGCCGGTTGGACGTACTGTCAAATTCTCTAAAATGACAGAGGCGGCTTATGGTAGAGAAATTAACATTCAATTTCCTGGCAACAGCTCTGGTGGACAGTCCTGCAGTCAGCATGCCAATTGCAGGCTCCCTCAACTTGAGACATCTGTGGCATTGTGTTGTGACAAAACTGCACATTTTAGTGGCCTTTTATTGTCCCCAGCACAAGGTGCACCTGTGTAATGATCATGCTGTTTAATCATCTTCTTAATATGCCACACCTGTCAGGTGGATGGATTATCTTGGCTAAGAAGAAATGCTCACTGACATGGATTTTAAACAAATTTGTGCACAAAATTTGAGAGAAATGAGCTTTTTGTGCATATGGAATATTTCTGGGACCTTTTATTTCAGATCATGAAACATGTTACGAACTTCCCTCTTGCACCCATTTCAGCAAATGGGTAGTACCTGCTCAATATAAGCAACCAATTCCAAAGTTTCCAATGAATTGGCCAATGCACCCTGTTGCGCTTACTTAACTCGTGGCGGCCCATCACATTACCTCAGAGTTGGAGATGTACCGCGCGACAGACCCCCCCCTTATGAGAGTCACAAGTATGAATCTGGCACTGAAGAAGGCAGTGTCATGGTGCGTTCGTAGCTAAATGCAACAACAAAACATTATTTATAAAAAGCAATTCATTTCATGTGTTTTTTTTAACGCTCTATAATTTGTTTACAAGCATGATGGCTGTACTTTTAGTTTACGCTTGACACGGCTTGTTGGCCATTAGCCAATCGGCGTTTCTCAACAAGTTCAAATCCCATGAATGCGTCCAACTGGTATTTACGACTTCGCAACTGGTAAATTCCCACCTCCTTACAAACGTAGCATCAGAGTGGAAACTTGAGGCCCAACATAACAATCTGATAAACAACAGACAATGCAAGGTACATTGTGAATGCTGAACATTGTGAATGGCATTTTAATTTTCTCCAAAACCGCAATACGTACCGAACCGCAGGTTTGGTGAACCGTAACACCCCTAGTACAGACTGTTACAATTACTGACTGTTCTGGATGGATTAACAATGCTGTGACTCCTCACATCTTGCATTGTTCTTTCATGATGAGCATAACTTTATGAAATACATACTTACCTAGCAGAGTTGCCAAACCTGTCTGTGGGAAAGGAATCTTGAGTTTCATGGAACATAAAGGCAACATGACTCACTGTTGTCTTGTGTTGCCAGTGGGTTTGCAGTGGGTATCTACACCACCAACTCCCCAGAGGCGTGCCAGTACTTAGCAGAGAACTGCAAGGCCAACATTGTCGTGGTGGAGAACCACAAACAGCTGCAGAAGATCCTACAGGTAAGCACAGAGGATGGAGAGCTTTGGATTTGATTAGATTCATCAATACATCAGGGATACCTTCAACCTTTTTTTTTAAAACCTTAATCGGTGTATTCCTCAACTGCTGATAACTATTCTCTATCCTCTAGGTTCAAGACAAGCTGCCACACCTGAAAGCCATTATCCAGTACAAAGATTCACTTAAAGAGAAGAGACCAAACCTCTACACGGTATGAATGTCAAACTATTTAATTTAATTTGAACATTTAGAAGTTGGATCAATGCCTTCTGTGTCTTTAGAAGTGTTCATAACGCACTACAGTTCCTGCAGGTTTGTATGAAAAATGTATGCACTCACTAACTGTAAGTCGCTCTGGATAAGAGCGTCTGCTAAATGACTAAAATGTAAATGTAAAATGTTTGTGTCCCCCCACTGTATCCTGAATGTATCTTGTATTCTCTGTACAGTGGGCGGAGTTTATGGAGCTGGGCCGTGATGAGTCCAACATTCAGCTGGATAACATCATCGCTACCCAGAAACCCAACCAGTGCTGCACACTGATCTACACATCAGGGACCACGGGCCAGCCCAAAGGAGTGATGCTCAGCCATGACAATGTGAGTGACACCCACCAGTAACATTAGACTGCCAGGTGGTGAAGGTGGGCAACAGCACCTCTGCTACGCTGATCCTCAACACAGGGGGCCCCACAAGGGTATGTGTTCAGCCCCCTCCTGTACTCCCTGTTCACCCATGACTGTGTGGCCACACGTCTCCAACTGAACCATTAAGTTTGCAGACGACACAAGTGGTAGGCCTGAATACCAACAACGACGAGACAGCCTACAGGGAGGGGGTGAGGGCCCAGGCGGAGTGGTGCCAGGAAAATAACCTCTCCCTCAACATCAACAAAACGAAGGAGCTGATCGTGGACTTCAGGAGACCGCTGAGGGAGCACTTCCACATCGACAGGGCCGCAATGGAGAGGGCGAAAAGCTTAAAGTTCCTCTGCGTGCACATCACTGACAACCTGAAATGGTCCATACAGTGTGGTGAAGAATGCGCAACAGCGCCTCTTCAACCTCTGGAGGCTGAAGAAATGTGTCTTGGCCCCTAAGACCCTCACAAACTTCTACAGATGTACCATTGAGAGCATCCTGTCGGGCTGTATCACCACCTGGTACGGCAACATCACCGTCCGCAACCGCAGTGCTTTCCAGAGGGTGGTGCAGTCAGCCCAACGCATCAACTGGGGCACAGTGCCTGCCCTCCAGGACATCTACAGCACCCGGTGTCACAGGAATGCCAGTAAGATCGTCAAGGACCTCAGCCACCCAAGCCATGGCCTGTTCACCCCGCTAACATCTAGAAGGTGAAGACGGTACAGGTGCATCAAAGCTGGGACCAAGAAACTGAAAAACGGCTTCTCGCTCCAGGCCATCAGACTGTTAGTCACCACTAGCCGGCCTCCGCCCTGTTTTACCCACTTTATATGTACAGTTGAAGTCAGAAGTTTACATACACCTTAGCCAAATACATTTAAACTCAGTTTTTCACAATTCCTGACATTTAATCCTAGTAAAAATTCCCTGTCTTAGGTCAGTTAGGATCACCACTTTTATTTTAAGAATGTGAAATGTCAGAATAATAGTAGATTTCTTTCAGCTTTTATTTATTTCATCACATTCCCAGTGGGTCAGAAGTTTACATACACTCAATTAGTATTTTGTAGCATTGCCTTTAAATTGTTTAACTTGGGTCAAACGTTTTGGGTAGCCTTCCACAAGCTTCCCACAATAAGTTGGGTGAATTTTGACCCATTCCTCCTGACAGAGCTGGTGTAACTGAGTCAGGTTTGTAGGCCTCCTTGCTCGCACACGCCTTTTCAGTTCTGCCCACACATTTTCTATAGGATTGAGGTCAGGGCTTTGTGATGGCCACTCCAATACCTTGACTTTGTTGTCCTTAAGCCATTTTGCCACAACTTTGGAAGAATGCTTGGGGTCATTGTCCATTTGGAAGACCCATTTGCGACCAAGCTTCAACTTCCTGACTGATGTCTTGATGTTGCTTCAATATATCCACATCATTTTCCTTCCTCATGATGCCATCTATTTTGTGAAGTGCACCAGTCCTTCCTGCAGCAAAGCACCACCACAGCATGATGCTGCCACCCCCGTGCTTCACGGTTGGGATGGTGTTCTTCGGCTTGCAAGCAGCCCCCTTTTTCCTCCAAACATAACGATGGTCATTATGGCCAAACAGTTCTGTTTTTGTTTCATCAGACCAGAGGACATTTCTCCAAAAAGTACGATCTTTGTCCCCATGTGCAGTTGCAAACCGTAGTCTGGCTTTTTTAATGGCGGTTTTGGAGCAGTGGCTTCTTCCTTGCTGAGCGGCCTTTCAGGTTATGTCAATATAGGACTCGTTTTACTGTGGATATAGATACTTTTGTACCTGTTTCCTCCAGCATCTTCACAAGGTCCTTTGTTGTTCTGGGATTGATTTGCACGTTTCGCACCAAAGTACGTTCATCTCTAGGAGACAGAACGCGTCTCCTTCCTGAGCGGTATGACTGCTGCGTGGTCCCATGGTGTTTATACTTACGTACTATTGTTTGTACAGATGAACGTGGTACCTTCAGGCGCAAGGATGAACCAGACTTGTGGAGGTCTACAATATTTTTCTTGAGGTTTTGGCTGATTTCTTTTGATTTTTCCCATGATGTCAAGCAAAGAGGCACTGAGTTTGAAGGTAGGCCTTGAAATACATCCACAGGTAAACCTCCAATTGACTCAAATGGTCAATTAGCCTATCAGAAGCTTCTAAAGCCATGACACCATTTTCTGGAATTTTCCAAGCTGTTTTAAGGCACAGTCAACTTAGTGTATGTAAACTTCTGACCCACTGGAATTGTGATACAATTGTTGGAAAAATTACTTGTCATGCACAAAGTAGATGTCCTAACCGACTTTCCAAAACTATAGTTTGTTAACAAGAAATTTGTGGAGTGGTTGAAAAACGAGTTTTAATGACTCCAACCTAAGTGTATGTAAACTTCCGACTTCAACTCTATATACTGTATTCTAGTCATGGCTCATCCTATATAACTACTGCTGTACACACTTTTTCTATCCATAAACTGTCCATAATGTCTGTATACGCCATCATATACATATTTATATTTTGGACTGACATTGCGCGTTCTAATATTTCTGTATTTCTTAATTCCTTTTTAATGTTTTTGATTTGAGTGTATTGTTAGGTGTTACTGCACTGTTGGAGCTAGGAATATAAGCATTTCGTTACACCCACGATAACGTCTGCAAAATGTGATTTTAGTCTTTGGCTGCACATTTGTAAAGATCTATGAGAATGATACACTATCAGAATGATGTAAACGTATCAAAATGTAGCCTCATATCTATTCAAAATCCACCTTTTGGTCCGAGTTTACTTGTGAATGACCGGTGTTGTAATGACTGTCTCTCTCTCTGTAGCTGACATGGACAGCGTTCGCCGTAGGCCGCCATGTCCGGCTGACAGAAGCCACCAAGTCTCAGGAGATAGTTGTCAGCTACCTGCCCCTCAGCCACATCGCTGCTCAAATGGTGGACATCTGGGTCACCATGAAGGTCGGAGGGGCAACCTATTTTGCCCAGCCAGACGCACTGAAGGTGAGGGTCTATTCTCATTTAAAAGAGGACCTTTTCCAGTTTCTCCATGTGACTGAGAAGATTGTCATGCAGTCCGTTACTCCCCCTTGTTCTCTCCCTCATTTTAGATTCAACCTAGTGTGTAATCCAGTAAAGGGATGCAGATTAAGTTAAATTGATACCCTGAGGGGGACACGTACTCACACAAGACTACTCTTTGTTTTCGCCATTGATCAGTTCATTAGTGCAGTGTTTCCCAACTCCAGTCCTCGAGTAACCCCCAATAGCCCACATTTTTGTTGTAGCCCCGGACAAAAACACCTGATTCAACTTGTCAAGGGCTTGATGATTAGTTGGCACGTAGAATCAGGAGTGCTTGTCTGGGGTCACAACAAAAAATATGTGCTATTGGGAGTATTCTAGGACTGACGTTGGGAAACACTGCATTAGTGTATCTGCTCTCTGTAAAAAGGGTTCTCTTCCCAAAATAAGCATCAGCTTTACTAAATGCATCATGTTGCAAACGCTTTTGAACAGTTGAACTGTCTTTCTCAATATGCTAGTGTCAGTATTACTTCGCGCGCGCACACTCTTTGTGCTTACAAACCCCTTTAGTGTGAATGCCTCCCTTCCTATCTCTTCTCAGGGCTCCCTGGTTAACACGATGAGAGAGGTGCGTCCCACAGCCTTTATGGGCGTACCACGCGTCTGGGAGAAGATGCAGGAGAAGATGAAGTCCATCGGGGCCAAGTCGTCCACCGTGCGCAGGAAGGTGGCAGTCTGGGCCAAAGGAGTGGGGCTGCAGACTAACCTCAGGAAGATGAACCAGTATGTATTACTAATGGAGCCTATTGAGTAGGGTGAGGGGGATCTGTGTTCTAATTGACCTGTTGCACCACCTGTGGTTCTGACTTCTTCTTAGCGTTTTTAATTTTTTTAAGTAATACTACAGTCACAAACATGACAGAACAGGATGAGTAGTTTTCATGCCCACGCACAGTTTAATAATGCTTGCACAGTATGTACAGTAGTGAACTACAGCCTGGGGTATAAAGATATATAGTAGACATGTTCTGATGTTGTATTAAACTTCTGCTTCCCCTCCTGCCTGCTCAGGAATGGCGCAATGACAAGGACGCCCATGAACTACCGCCTAGCCAAGAAGCTGGTGTTCAGAAAGGTCCGTAAGGCCCTGGGCCTAGACCGCTGCACCAAGTGTTACACGGGCGCCGCCCCCATCACCAAGGATACCCTGGAGTTCTTCCTCAGCCTGGACATTCCAGTGTTAGAGCTGTATGGAATGAGTGAGAGCACTGGGCCTCACACCATCTCTCTGCCTGACCAATTCCGCCTCACCAGGTAACTTACAGCATATACTCTCCACACTCCCCTGAACACACAATGCCTGACATGACATATTTCCATGCTCACTCAAGACAAATTCATTCGAACAGGCTCAGGCACATGCATACATCGGCTTTTAGCAAGTGTATTTGCTGTCGATTTACTGTATATTCTTCATGTATGTGATTTAAGAACTGCAAAGTTAAAGTGTTTTGTCTCCCCAGCGTTGGGAAGTTGATCCCTGGCTGTGAGACTAAGATCCACAGTCCTGACCAGGAGGGCAATGGGGAGATCTGCTTCTGGGGGCGCCACGTCTTCATGGGCTACCTAAACCAGGCTGACAAGACAGAGGACGCCCTGGACGCTGAGGGCTGGCTGCACTCTGGAGACCTGGGCAAACACGACGACAACGGCTTCCTGTTCATCACCGGACGCATCAAAGGTACGCAGTCTTCTCTACACACTATTAACCCCCCCCCCCCCCCCCCCAAAAAAAATAAAATGAAACCTAGGCCAATCATCAGATTCCAGCTTTAAACGGAACAGACTGAAGTTAGTTGAAAGCCTCAGTTAGTTGATGGAAGATGGAATTTTGTCTGGTTCCACAAGTTTGAATTATCGTAATTAAAATGTCAGATTCAATGTGTGTTTCCAGAGCTGATCATCACAGCGGGTGGAGAGAACATCCCTCCAGTGCCAATCGAAGATGCTGTGAAGGAGGCTGTGTCGCTGGTTAGCAACGCCATGCTCATTGGAGACAAGAGGAAGTTCCTTGCCATGCTGCTCACCATTAAGGTATGACCAGTTAGCTACAGTATTGTTGGTGTAAAACCAAATCCCCATCCCAACTCATACCCCATTTAATTCAAGAAAGGTCATCTTTCTTCTAAATTCTGACAACCTTTTTATTTAGAACAAGGATGTTATAAAATCCTTTAGATTGTGTAACATCCTTTAGATGGCTATCTATTGCAGCCACTTCAAGAGTATCTGTTAGTTGAGAAATACCATGTGTAATCAGATGCAGCCTCTTGAGATTGCACAGTGCTGTGTAAACTGCTTATCATGTAATCATAGGATGAGGCAAGACATCATAGTGGATTATAATATTTGAGCAAAATCACAATTCCTCTTTATTGTAAGGCATGCAATTCAACTTCTGCTCGACCACTTCCACCTGGTGGGCATTTTGCAAACTGCCATTCTTTATGGTATCATTGTCAGTTAACCCTTGGCCTACAATGGTCGCACCCCCATGGAAATCGAATTAACATAATACAAAAATCCCTATTAAAAATCTCAGTTTAAGCTAGAGCTGTTTTTTGCATGGACTGCATCTCAATCCTCCGATATTGCCCATCCACATCTGCGGTGAAAGGTGGCAAAGCTAGAGCGGTGTTTGTCAGACCATGAGACCTCACAAACGTCTGAACGGTTTGGCCTACAAACTATAATGACCTCTCCTTTGAAAGCTGAGACTCTCACAAACACGATAGGACAGACACTTCAGAACAAACTTCCTTCAGATTTATTTTGGGGGGAGTATCTGATGTAGTGAATCTGTTATTCAATATGTTTCTATTGGCAAATAGCAGTAATGCCAAATTCAATGTTTCATCCAATAATTTTGTTATATATATTTTTTTGATACCTTAAGGGGTCTTAAAATTCAAAATCAAATAGCTAAATGATCCTTGGTATGACCATCTTAAAACAATTCCATATGTTTAGAAGGCTTAGACAGGGCTTAGACTCTAGAGGGTTAATGGCATTGATTAATGAAACAGAGAAATTATCCATGCACAAAACAGCCTTCTAGGAAAATGCATATGTCGTTATTTTATCTCCTTCCTGACTAAAACTACATTTGTCTCTTTTACCCCTCAGTGCCAGGTGAACGGTGACACTGGTGCTCCTGAGGATGAGTTGACGCCAGAGGCTGTAGAGCTGTGCCAGAAGCTGGGCAGCAACGCCACGCGAGTCTCCGAGATTGCCGGCGGACGTGACCGGGTCATCCATGCCGCTATCCAGGAGGGCATCAACCGCGTGAACGAGAACGCCACCTCCAATGCCCAGCGCATCCAGAAGTGGACCATCCTAGACCAGGACTTCTCCATCACCGGGGGAGAGCTGGGTAAGTGGGGGGGGGGGGCAGGCGGGCCCTGGGGTGGACAGTGTACATGTTGGTTTAGTGCCATGTTCTTAACTGCTGGATGTTGTTTTTCTAGGTCATTACATAGACTGGACTCTATTTTCCATAATGTTCCTCATTTCATTTCCATAAATTAGATGTATATGGCACATTTCAATAGAATTGTTTTTGTTGCCCTTTCCTCAGTCTATTGCAGACCATGTCGTCACTCAGTAGTTTTCACCACCTATCCAGTGGCGGGTGTTGATGATCATAACAGCAGGATATACACTGAGTGTACAAAACATTAGGAATACCTGCTCTTTCCATGACAGACTGACCAGGTGAATCCTGGTGAAAGCTATGATCCCTTATTAATGTCACTTGTTAAATCCACTTCAATCAGTGTAGATAAAGGGGAGGAAACCGGTTAAAGAAGGGTTTTAAGCCTTGAGACAATTGAGACATGGATTGTGTATGTGTGCCATTCAGAGGGTGAATGGGCAAGACAACATTTTAAAGTGCTTTGAAAGGGGTATGGTAGTAGGTGCCAGGCGCACCGGTTTGAGTGTGTCAAGAATTGTAACGTTGTAGGGTTTTTCACTCAAGTTTCCCGTGTGTATCAAGGATGGTCCACCAGCTGTGGGAAGCATTGGAGTCAACATGAGCCGGCATCCTTGTGGAACACTTTCGACACCTTGTAGAGTCCATGCCCCGACGAATTGAGGCTGTTCTGAGGGCAAAAGGGGGTGCAACTGAATATTAGGAAGGTGCTCCTAATGTTTTGTACACTCAGTGTATAGCTGATGCAGTCTCTTTCTCTCTCTCTCTCAGGCCCCACTATGAAGCTGAAGAGGCCAGTGGTCATGAAGATGTACAAAGAACAAGTAGATAATTTCTACAAAGAGGTGGTGACCCCAAGCACTCCTGACAACCCCCTTCCCCCCAAATAGGCCTGGGACAAAGCAGAGCAATTCATAGAACCGCGACAAAAGACCTGCAAGTCTCTCACACATACGACACACATACCCCACCTCATACAGACTACCACTCCCTGTGCAATTCCCGTTTACTCCTGTGAAAATGTTTTGTTAGCTTCCTGCTTTGGTTATTGGGTTTTTGTTTACATTTGTGGGTGTTCTAAAGAAAAATATAAGGAACATCCATGAGAAGCCATTGTAAATCTTTATGATTTTTGAAGATTAGTTATTGATCTGATTTCAACTATTTATTTGTATTATTGTGATGAACAATAATATACGATAGATGAAGTACGTGATGAGGCATGGCATAGGATCCAACATTTCCATAGGAAATGGTAGTAGAATTTTGGGCTACGTTTTGAAAAAGCGTTACTCAAAATTATTTATTTTTCTTTAGTCAAAGTCAATACTTACTTGGACCAAATACACATTGGATGTGAAAGAATTATCCAGCTGAAAACTACAGATGCAAGTTTTTCCTTCACATCCAGGTGTTTGCTTCGTCTGGATAGAAAAAAAAGACATTAAGTGAATTGACAGGGAAAGAAAACACAGAGAACCTATAATTTTCCTATTATTATTGTATTGTTTTGCGCTGTCTGCGTTGGTCTGGTTTCAGAGTTTTGATGAAAGTGTATCATTGTGTTATAGCTCTGTCCTAAATCATATATGCAGTTCTGCAATAAAAAGACAAGACAAGTCCTGGGATGGCCAATGACAAATTAAGTTGTAGATTTAGTTAAAACCTTGGCGCCATAAGCACATGGCTCAATGTTGAACTTCTGCACCTACCTTGTCCTACAGAGAGCATCCAAATCACTTTTTTTAATGCGATGGAACCATATCATTCAAGCCATAATATTATTTTTTGTATCTGTGTTATGTATTTTGACATTGTCATACTACCTGCACAATTGCCTGGTCTTGTTGGAATGTTTTATAAAGATTGTGTGTAAAATTGCTGTGACCACTTAACTGTAAGTAGATTTAGACATTGCCTCTTTCCTCTGGTCTTTATTTAAACTGTTATATTACGTTCAATGTTTTTCAAAGAACTCGTTAGTCTTCAGATCATCAGTCTTGTCAAGCAGCGTGACGTCCTTTACACTTGCGCCACTGAACTGAGTTTGTCTTTCATTACATGTTCTCTCCCGAGTTACCTTAAGCTAAAACAGAAGAGAATAAAAGTGTACATAGAGGACATTTGATAGCATATCAAAATGAAGTAACCATTCATTCTGAAACCAATAATACCCAAGATTGGTGTGGACTTGGGTTTGCTCATATTACACTGCAAATACTCTCCCTAAGGTTCATGTATATGAATATGCCGTGTGGAATGTTGAAAACCCTGTATATCTGTCTCACTCAGTAACCTACTGTACATGTTCGGATCCTTGTGTAATTCTGAGTGTCTTAATTATTGTGGGTTTATTTGTATTTGGGCCACTTTTGTCAACTTTGTCAGTACTTGCAAATTATACTCCTTGTACATTGGAATTGGAAGAAATCGGGTTGATTCTGGCTTTCAGCACCTTTGACCATTGTCTTTGAAATACTTGAATTTAAAGAATAAAATATATATATATTGAGGTAATCTAATGCAATCCACAGATCCCATTTGTAAGCAGTTGTCACTACCATTCCATTGTCTCTGGAAAGTGAATAGGCCAAGACCCTTGCCGTTTGTAGAGATGTTAGAGGGCTTCCACATTCAGCAGCGAGAAGCTCAACAGCTGGAGACCAATATTGATGTTTCAGGAAGACTAGGAAATAAACTATTAGCTTACCAAGAAGACCGGCTTGTTTATCGAATGAAGTTGCATATGGACGGAAAAATATTGTCGAAAGTGGAGGTGACGTATCAGTTTTGTTCTTTTCCCAACTGATTTCTGCCTTCCTGCAGAATTCACTGGTGTCATAGCTTTGTTGATTCTTGTACTGACATGAAGACTTACTGAAGGTCTGTAGCTACTGCAGTTAGTCGGTCACAGCTCCATACCACCAACAAAGCCAAATGCAACTGCAGTCAACTTCCTTACACCACAAGGACTTTTAGCTGTTGACAGACCTGTCACTTTTTTTTTTTACAAGCAGAGCAATCAATCTCTTAAAATGCATATAAGACAGTGAGAGGTCATGACTGCCATCTAAAGACAGAATACCGGTTTTACCTGACCCTCAACACTTGAGTTGAAAGCGTTTCTTTCTAGTATCGGGTGGAGAAGAAAGTGTGTGTGTCACTGGGTGTCTAGAGTTGATGAGCAGCGCCATCTTTAAACTAGCAGCTGCTGAGAGGAAAGAGAAACCTGAATGTTCCTTATGTATGTGATCTAGCTGGAAAATAAAGGTTATTTATTCTGAAATATCAAGAGCAGTTTCACTCATTTCCTGTTGAAAAATCTTCAATTTGACATTGAAACATACCAGGTTGGCACTTTTAAAGTAACTGCCCAGTGAAAATCTCACTTAACTAATATCCAAAACATAGCTGCGAGAAGCAATGAACGGGGCTCACAGGATCAGTTGGATAACAAAGCAAGCGTCATGTAGGAACGATCTTCCTTTATGTGCAAACATTGTATTATGATTATTTAGGTTAGCAGTCACCCGGAGAGCTGAATGAACCTGGAGTGAATCTGACATATGGTTCATTGGAAGATTATTTTTAGCATTAGTTACATGCTGCTTATCACAGCGCCACCTATAGGCCAATTGGTGCCATTATGTTTGTGCCAAATAAATAAATATGAATCTATGCTTGAATTATTTGATCATGTCAATGGGATTTTTTTTTAATCTAAAAAGAACAAAAGCCTAATAATGTTGTTGACTCATCCTATACTTGTATTTGTGGCCAAAGCATGCATTTTAGAAAAACACTTCAAAAACCCCACTTGAAACTTATCACAAACAGACTGTTTCAAAAAATGCTTGCTATTTCCTCATGTCATCAAATCAAATCAATAAAAAATTGCCACATGCGCCGAATACAACAGGTAGATTGACGAGGACATTTTTTTATTTAATCCATTTTAGAATAAGAATGTAACGTAACAAAATGTGGAAAAAGTCAAGGGGTCTGAATTCTGAATGCACTGTACAGTGGGGAAAACAAGTATTTGATACACTGCCGATTTTGCAGGTTTTCCTACTTACAAAGCATGTAGAGGTCTGTAATTTTTATCATAGGTACACTTCAACTGTGAGAGACGGAATCTATTTTTATCGCCCTCCAGGTTCCCTTGGAGAGTTCATCAATGAGCTTGACGCCTTGATAAGTTCCTTTCCGGAGGATGGCTCACCCCTCACAGTTCTGGGTGACTTTAACCTCCCTACGTCTACCTTTGACTAATTTCTCTCTGCCTCCTTCTTTCCACTCCTCTCCTCTTTTGACCTCACCCTCTCACTGTCCCCCCCTACTCACAAGGCAGGCAATACGCTTGACCTCATCTTTACTAGATGCTGTTCTTCTACTAATCTCACTGAAACTCCTCCATGTCTCTGACCACTACTGTGTATCCTTTTCTCTCTCGCTCTCCTCCAACACTACTCACTCTGCCTCTACTCAGATGGTAATGCGCCGTCGCAACCTTCGCTCTCTCTCCCGCTACTCTCTCCTCTTCCATCCTATCATCTCTTCCCTCTGCTCAATCCTTCTCCCTCCAATCTCCTGATTCTGCCTCCTCAACCCTCCTCTCCTCCCTTTCTGCATCCTTTGACTCTCTATGTCCCCTATCCTCCCGGCCGGCTCGGTCCTCCCCTCCTGCTCCGTGGCTTGACGACTCATTACGAGCTCACAGAACAGGGCTCCTGGCAGCCGAGGGGAAATGGAGGAAAACTAGACTCCCTGCGCACCTGGCATCTTTTCACTCCCTCCTCTCTACATTTTCTTCCTCTGTTTCTGCTGCTAAAGCCACTTTCTACCACTCTAAATTCCAAGCATCTGCCTCTAACCCTAGGAAGCTCTTTGCCACCTTCTCCTCCCTGCTTTCCTCCACGTGCTCTCACCACTGGTGTCCCCCAGGGCTCAGTTCTAGGCCCTCTCCTATTCTCGCTATACACCAAGTCACTTGGCTCTGTCATATCCTCACATGGCCTCTCCTATCATACGCAGACGACACACAACTAATCTTCTCCTTTCCCCCTTCTGATAACCAGGTGGCGAATCGCATCTCTGCATGTCTGGCAGACATATCAGTGTGGATGACGGATCACCACCTCAAGCTGAACCTCGGCAAGATGGAGCTGCTCTTCCTCCCGGGGAAGGACTGCCCGTTCCATGATCTCGCCATCACGGTTGACAACTCCGTTGTGTCCTCCTCCCAGAGTGCTAAGAGCCTTGGCGTGACCCTGGACAACATCCTGTCGTTCTCCGCTAACATCAAGGCAGTGACCCGATCCTGTAGGTTCATGCTCTACAACATTCGGAGAGTACGACCCTGCCTTACACAGGAAGCGGCACAGGTCCTAATCCAGGCACTTGTCATCTCCTGTCTGGATTACTGCAACTCGCTGTTGGCTGGGCTCCCTGCCTGTGCCATTAAACCCCTACAACTCATCCAGAATGCCGCAGCCCGTCTGGTGTTCAACCTTCCCAAGTTCTCTCACGTCACCCCGCTCCTCCGCACACTCCACTGGCTTCCAGTTGAAGCTCGCATCTGCTACAAGACCATGGTGCTTGCCTACGGAGCTGTGAGGGGAACGGCACCTCCGTACCTTCAGGCTCTGATCAGTCCCTACACTCAAACGAGGGCATTGCATTCATTCCCAGTTGTTTTGAACGCGGCATAAACCTTGTCAGCGAAACTGATTGAACTCTGCAGTGCCCGATTCACCCCACAATCTGCTTAACATGAATGACCTCCATGTGACCTATATAATTCACCCCTTCCAATGGAGTCCATCCAGAGTTCAGAAGTTCAAACACTGGTCAACTATGAGCCACAACAACGACAGACAGTACTCAATGACTTTATTAATAATATATGATTTCAAAATAAAAAATAACATTAAAATAACATTTTTGTACTTAATACAACTTGCATTGTATGGCCACATGGTGGCATCGTATGCCAAGTTTAAAATATCAAATCGTGTTGTTCTGCCGTTCAGCCCATGGTAGCACTTTTATCACCCCTTCCCGCCAGCAAAACCTGCCTTGATAAATACAGCTAACCCGTTCCCTGTCACAAACTAGGTTTCCATCCATTTGGCGACAGATTTTCATGCGAATATTCTAAAATCCGCATAAAAACTATATGTGCATTTTCCCACCAGAGATGCGTTACCATCAAATTGACTCGTTGCAGATAAAAGGCTGTGCATGAATACGTAGTTTACATACAAATAAATACCTTTTGCGGTTAAATTACCATGTACCGAATAAAAAATACAATTTAAGGAGAGGGGGAGGGGGGCAGGACAGAGTTCGGGAAATACTGCTATAGCCAACAGCGCATATAGACTACATCAGTCTTTCTTAACTCCGGTCCTCGAGTACCCCCAACAGTACATATTTCTGTTGTGCCCAGGACAAGCATACTTGATTCTAGTTGTCAACTAATCATCAAGCCCTGACCAATTGAATCAGGTGTTTTTGTCCGGGGCTACAATATAAATGTGTGCCGTTGGAGGGTACTGGAGGACCGGAGTTGGGAAACACTGGCCTACGATGAGATTATTATTATGGACAAAATAGCGAGATTATTTGTATTTGTCAAACGGCAGCCGAGCATTGATTATCATGTCACCAGAATAAGACCCTCGATATTTATTAGAAAGGCTCATCACCTTGCACTTTCACCACCCTGTGAAATTCATCAGAATTGATTTAATCTGTAACCTAATAAACTGCATGCTTTTCCGACGAGAATCTGGGTTTAGATAGGTTTATTTCGATATGATGGTTATTATATCAATATTTGCGCATAAAAGCGTTTCCAGGGACATTTCTCGCATAATTCATTTTACCTACACAAAAAGAACCAACTTTGTCGACATTTGGAAAGTTTACCGAAAAATTTTCTGTCTCCAATAGGCCGGTCATTTTTTATCCGACATGTTCTTAACTCGCATAAAAAGGTTGGATGGAAACCTGGTTACAGACACGTATAACAACCACTGACACAGGAAACGCCCCTCTGCCCATGCCACCTCACATTCCTAAGGAACACAAAGTCACCATTCGCTGCTTTTTTGTCTGTTAAATTCCAGAGTAGATAGTCTACCTTTGCTTATCATACATTTAAATCTATATAATATAGTTTGAATTGAAATGGTATATTTTCCTATGGTGTTATTGTTTTAAAGTTTAAGGGATCGAAATTTGATAAAAATACAGATAAATATTGAACCAAAGAGGGGGTGACAGTTTATGCCTGGGCTTCGTAACCATACCTCATAGAGTACGGACAAATAGAACGCTGCCTCACTTTGAGTTAAAAACACTCAAATTATAATAGGACATACACATATGCTCACTGAAAAGTCCACCTTTTCCTCCTTGATATCGACATGGTTAGCTCATACATCAAACATATTCCCAACACCTGTTCCATGGTGTCCAACTGCAACAACTATGATACACAATACAACATTCAGGGAAGTTTTCCTTGATGCAACACTAGAATTAACAGAATTGACAGCATGTTTCTGTATGTATAATGACAAAACATGCCAATACAAATAAAAACAATTAAATAAGAATTTTAAAAAACGTTGGCAAAAAATCTATTTGTATTGCATGTAAATATTGTATAAAATTCTTAAAAATACAGTTTAGATAATTACTTAAGTACTGAAGTCACCACAGCCAAAAGTGCAGAGGTACATAAATAAAAGATTGACTGTTCGTAAATGGTAGGTGGGGTTCTCTGGGAGAACTGCACAGAGCTGCCTGCCACTCAACCCTTCAGCGGCCCCACCCCCCCACACCCTTCACCCTCGTGCCCCCATTCCATGACACAAGGGAAAAACTGAGCGCCCCCGGTCAAGGGGTAGAGTTCATGAACTAGGACTTCGGAGTTAAAAGTTCACACACACAAGAGGACAGCAACGTTCTCTTTTTCCACTCGCTTGACACACACAATCCATCACACTCACAGTTGCAAAGTTCATCTTTTAAAAATCACTTGCAGGGACTTCTGTTGAGATAGGCACACCCAGACAAATAAAGGGGTGGTGGACAGAGCAGAGTGGATGCTGAGAGCAACATAAGGCGGTTGTTGTTTCACTCCAGAACCACACATTGAGTCTTCAACACACCACGCCACGCCACAGCACAGCGCCCTCACAGAGGAGAAGGGGCAGAGATGTGTGTGTGCACTTTGTAGAGCCAGGCAACAGAATGGACATAACTATTAAAGCTATTAGCATTAGAATAAATAAAACTGTTCACGAGGTGAAACAGAAAGAAAGTTTGGGGGGAATGAAGCAGGGAGGGGATCACCCGAAGAGAGGAGAAGACTGACCATTAGTCTGAGTGTGAAACCACAGTGGATGTGAAGGCTAGAGGGGCCAGAGTAAGAGGAAGATGTCTAGCAGATTGACTGAGTGATAGGCCTGGTCTGGCACAGTCCCTTTCCATAGAAAACTACATCTCAGACAACAGAACATGAGCTATACAACCGTTCATATTACGATCTGGAAAGAAAAGGCAATCGTTTGGAGAAGACGCCTGAACTTTCCCTAAAGTACCACTGCTGATGCACAGTGTCTTAGGATTTCTGGAAGGCTTATGTTCCTAATAACAGCAGAGATAGATCACTGGAAGAAGCTTCAAATCTGCAGAGAAACCCCACGAGGAGCATCAACTGATTTCAAGAGAGGGCACTGTTAAGACAAAACTGGAGTTTCAGGCTTCCCAATTAACATTTAGTAACATTTAGTCAGAGGAGGGACTTTTGCTCTTTAACCAGTGTCAGTGGACAGACATAAAGGCACTAAGAGGATAGTAGGTTTGTTGCTAGCCCTAGGAAATGAACAGTAATACATTCATAGCTCACAGGTATCTGAACTGCAATCCAAAATATACTCCAAACGTATCAGTACAAAAATTAAATGTAAAAAAGCGTGGCCCCTTTTTTTTCTCGGATCTGGGAGACTATGGCTACTTGTCACGTCTTTTTACCCCCCACCATTAAAAAGGCAATTCAGAAGTGATCCTTTCCCCAGCAGTTGAGCCCTTTCATGCACATCAAGATAGAAGGAATGGGGGGTCAAGGTTCAGCTTTCAAAGAGAGGGAGTGAAGGGGAACTGAACTGACAAGAGATGAACCCCATCTAAAATACACCACCACCAACAGGCACATACACAACTTAGTGCCTGCATGTGTGAAGACACCCTGGAATGGGACCCAAATGCCTCTCACAGTGTGTGTTTAAGGGCTGTTGCTTGTGCTCAAGCTTAAAGAGTCACTAACCAAAGATATCATCCCCCCCTAAAGCCTCTGAAATACTCACCCAGACACACTCTCCCTCACATACGCACGCACAGACAGGAAAATTCCTACAGAGATATGAACTCCAGCTGAGAGGAGGGGGAGGGGAGGAGTGTTGTGTTGTGTGAGTGGGGAGGAAGGAGATAGAGGGGTGAAGTATTGGGTTTGCAAAGGCTAGAAGTGAGGGGGGAGGGCAGGAGGGAGAGTAGAGTGGTCACATTCCACAGTTCTGCACACAGGCTGCTCTGCTGTTCTCCACAAGAAACATATATAATACATCTCCTGCCAGACCCAGTCCAGACAGGCCAGCTCCTAGTCCTGTCATCTAGTCCAGTCCGGGTTCGAGGGACAGTGGCATAGCTGCTCTCTCTTACTCGGACCTCCTCCTCTCTCCTCCCCTCACCCTGTTCCTCTGTTCTTCTCCAGCGACTAGTGAAAGTGTGTGTTCTGTTGTTGTTCTGTGGTTTAGCTCTGTCTGGTGTGTGGCTGTAGCTTCTGTTACTACCCCCCCCCAGTGGGGGTCCAGGGACTGAGGAGGGAGAGTGGCCACCACCGGCCCTGCCACAATCCCCTGCGCTACAGGCTTGCTGTCACGTGGCTGTGGTCTCCAGGTAGCTCTGTAGTTTGCGGACGGTCGTCTCGTCCAGAGAGAACAGGTCAAAGTCAAAGGTGGTGTTGGTCACGTTGAAGTGGCCCGTCTCCTCAATAAGATTCACTATCTAAGGAGAGAGAGGAGAGGAGGACTTAGATGACGACGATATCACATTGATGATGACACAATAGCGTGGCCTGACAGTAGTGATGCTAGTGGAAAAGTATGTTTTGTAACACATGTATACACCTGACCACACACATGGCTAGTTATGGCTCCATACCTGCTGTAGGACGTTGCGCTCCCTCAGAGCCATCAGTCTGCGGTGGAGATCCACCAGCTCCTCTGTGTAGGCCTGGAGAACAGGAAGAGGGGGGAGTTTGTCGTTAGTGGAGCACTCCTTGAGTCTACAATTAGGTATATGATTACTGATTAACCAGTGTTTTCTACTGCAGTTTTACACCAGGAATGTATGGAGTGGTAAGCTGGTAGTGATATATCTATAATAGTGGTGATAAAGCAGTATTGTAGAATTTGAACAAGAGTATATTGAACACTACACTGGTAATATAACCACTTAATACAGATGTTTGAACACATGAAAAATAAGAAAAAAGGTAATGTAAATTGTGAGTATTTACCCTTCCTACCTTCTCGTATCCTTTCTTCAGCACCTTCTCTGGGCGGCTGCAGATGTCTGGGCTCTTCCTGCCCAAGACCTGCTCAGAGAGAGACGGAACACAGAGACAGAGAGACGGAGGACAGAGGGGAAAGCAGATAAACAGAGATCAGAATGGGAAGGATGGTGCTTTAGGAGAGCAAATATTAAACACACCACCACAGTTTTCTGTTGTGGTGCTAGGAATAAAAAAAAAACACTGCTTAGCCATCAATGATAACTACTGGTAATAACCCAAACGTCAACAAAGTACATTTGTAGAGGTATACCTGTTTGCAGGAGAAATTATCACATATAACTTTATTGAATTTTTGCATTGTAACTTATGACAATGTCCATAATATATCTGCCGCTAATAGTGGAATTATAGTGTTTCACAGTACTACTTACCCGCCAGTGTTGTGATTGGCAGTGATATTTGCCTATTGATTTCTCCCGCCGGAGCGGCATCCACTATTAGCGGCAGATAAAGTTGAAGTCAGAAGTTTACATACACTTAGGTTGGAGTCATTAAAACTTGTTTTTCAACCACTCCACACATTTCTTGTTAACAAACTATAGTTTTGGCAAGTCGTTTAGGACATCTACTTTGACACAAGTAATTTTTCCAACAATTGTTTACAGACAGATTATTTAACTTATAATTCACTGTATCACAATTCCAGTGGGTCAGAAGTTTACATACACTAAGTTGACTGTGCCTTTAAACAGCTTGGAAAATTCCAGAAAATTATGTAATGGCTTTAGAAGCTTCTAATAGGCTAATTGACATCATTTGAGTCAATTGGAGGTGTACCTGTGGATGTATTTCAAGGCCTACCTTCAAACTCAGTGCCTCTTTGCTTGACATCATGGGAAAATCAAAAGAAATCAGCCAAGACCTCAGAAAAAAAATTGTAGACCTCCACAAGTCTGGTTCATCCTTGGGAGCAATTTCCAAACGCCTGAAGGTACCACGTTCATCTGTACAAACAATAGTACGCAAGTATAAACACCATGGGACCACGCAGCCGTCATACTGCTCAAGAAGCAGATGCGTTCTGTCTCCTAGAGATGAACGTACTTTGGTGCGAAAAGTGCAAATCAATCCCAGAACAACAGCAAAGGACCTTGTGAAGATGCTGGAGGAAACAGGTACAAAATGATCTATATCTGGCCGCTCAACCTGGAAGAAGCCACTGCTCCAAAACCACCATAAAAAAAGCCAGACTACGCTTTGCAACTGCACATGGGGACAAAGATCGCACTTTTTGGAGAAATGTCCTCTGGTCTGACGAAACAAAAATAGAACTGTTTGGCCATAATGACCATCGTTATGTTTGGAGGATGGGGGGGGGGGGGGGTGGCTTGCAAGCCGAAGAACACCATCCCAACCATGAAGCACGGGGGTGGCAGCATCATGCTGTGGGGGTGCTTTGCTGTAGGAGGGACTGGTGCACTTCACAAAATAGATGGCATCATGAGGAAGGAAAATTATTTGGATATATTGAAGCAACATCTCAAGACATCAGTCAGGAAGTTAAAGCATGGTCGCAAATGGGTCTTCCAAATGGACAATGACCCCAAGCATACTTCCAAAGTTGTGGCAAAATGGCTTAAGGACAACAAAGTCAAGGTATTGGAGTGGCCATCACAAAGCCCTGACCTCAATCCTATAGAAAGTTTGTGGGCAGAACTGAAAAAGCATGTGCGAGCAAGGAGGCCTACAAACCTGACTCAGTTACACCAGCTCTGTCAGGAGGAATGGGCCAAAATTCACCCAACTTATTGTGGGAAGCTTGTGTAAGGCTACCCGAAATGTTTGACCCAAGTTAAACAATTTAAAGGCAACGCTACCAAATACTGATTAAGTGTATGTAAACTTCTGACCCACTGGGAATGTGATGAAAGAAATAAAAGCTGAAAGAAATAATTCCCTCTACTATTATTCTGACATTTCACATTCTTAAAATAAAGTGGTGATCCTAACTGACCTAAGACAGGGAATTTTTTACTAGGATTAAATGTCAGGAATTGTGAAAAACTGAGTTTAAATGTTTTCGGCTAAGGTGTATGTAAACTTCCGACTTCAACTGTATATTATGGACATTTTCTGAAATAACAATGCAAAAATTATCTACAATTCTGTGTGTGAATTTAATGATGGGGCTTTTGTCAGAGGAGAGAAAATAGAGATAGAAATCTGGAGTGACAATGGAGATGGAGAAAACAGTCCAGTCCTGGAAGAGATTAGAGGAGCCGTGTTTTACCTTGTTATTGGAGGAGCTGTGTTTTACCTTGTTATTGGAGGAGCCGTGTTTTACCTTGTTATTGGAGGAGCCGTGTTTTACCTTGTTATTGGAGGAGCCGTGTTTTACCTTGTTATTGGAGGAGCCGTGTTTTACCTTGTTATTGGAGGAGCCGTGTTTTACCTTGTTATTGGAGGAGCCGTGTTTTACCTTGTTATTGGAGGAGCCGTGTTTTACCTTGTTATTGGAGGAGCCGTGTTTTACCTTGTTATTGGAGGAGCCGTGTTTTACCTTGTTATTGGAGGAGCCGTGTTTTACCTTGTTATTGGAGGAGCCGTGTTTTACCTTGTTATTGGAGGAGCCGTGTTTTACCTTGTTATTGGAGGAGCCGTGTTTTACCTTGTTATTGGAGGAGCCGTGTTTTACCTTGTTATTGGAGGAGCCGTGTTTTACCTTGTTATTGGAGGAGCCGTGTTTTACCTTGTTATTGGAGGAGCTGTGTTTTACCTTGTTATTGGAGGAGCCGTGTTTTACCTTGTTATTGGAGGAGCTGTGTTTTACCTTGTTATTGGAGGAGCTGTGTTTCTGTGGAGGCGGCACCGGGTCTCGACTGGGGCGGTGCGAGCCGTCACTGCTGTCACTCTCGCTGTCCAGGCTCAGTCTGACAGGGAACAGGAGGGCAAAGGTCAGAAAGGCAGAAAGCTATTTAGCACAGGGAGCCTGTGTATGTAGGTGGTGGGTGGACACACATGTTTTGTAAAAGGATCAACAACTCCAATCAGTGTTTGCAGCTCAAATTATTAAAATCTTTAAAGATTTCCTTCGACAAACTGTAACACCTATAAAGAACGGCCAACACACATATGTGCTTATTTGCTAGAGATGTGTTTCATAAGTGCCACAAACATCAGTAGACTAACTGGTGAAAATGACCTAACTACAGAAGCATCAGAGGTCTATGACACAGTAAGGTAAAGAGTGAGAAATTGAGAGAAATTGAGAGAGACTGACCGTGAGTCACGGTTGGGCGGGTTGGTCTTGACAGGCGTCCCTTCCTCTGAGCTGCTGTCGTCATCTGACTCCTCTGACTGTAGGTCCTCCACCATAGAGCGCAGCGGGCCTAGAGTAGATGTACACACCGTCAACAGAGAACACTTGCTAAATCCACAGTACTATTCCTACATTAAAGCACAAACCAGGCCCCCTAAAGACATCCAATGTGTCAGAATGTCCTCTCCAGTGGATGTGTAAATTCCATGTTATCTGTCTAGAGAATGATAGGCTTACCTTGGCCTTGTTTCTGTCCAGGCTCAAAGTCAGATTCTGAGCTGGAATCAGAGCTGGAGCTGGAGTTAGAAGGACTGGAGGGGGCTGACTGCTCTGATTTGGACGAGGCTTCATCCTCAGAGTTGGACTCGTCAGACTCAGGCAGCTTCTTGGGCTCCTTGACCTCCTGAGTGTCGGCCTTGCTGCCCTTGGGCCAGCGACCCTCCTTGGGGGGTTTCTTCTCTGGGAAGCCAGGGGCGGCTGCAGACGACGAGGAGACCCGGGGAGAGGCTCCGGTGAAGGCCACTGCAGCTGCCCCTTTAGAGCCCTCTGAGCTGCTCTTCTTCTGCTTCTTGGCACTGGGTTTGGGAGACTCCACGGTGGAAGGCCGCTTCCCGGGGCCTTTGGACTCCAGCGGGCCCCCTCCTCCTCCTCCCCCACCACCCCCTCCCCCCCCTCCTTTGGGGGACATGCCCTCCATCTTGGCCTCCTTCAGGGTGAGTTTGGGCTCTTTGAAGGCGGCCTTGGGAAGGACCTTGCCCTCATCTTTGACTTTGATCTCTGCTGGCTTCTTGGAAGAGGAGGAAGAGGAGGGCTCGCGGGCGCACTTGCTGCTGACCCCTCCTCCCCCGTCGCGGTCGCTGTCGCCCTTGGACCCCGCCTTGCTCTCAGAGTCTTTACGGGGGCGTTCGCGGTGCTCCTTGGTCAGCTTGTGGGACTTCGGCCCTTTATTGCTGCCTCCACTGCCCTCTTTACTGGGCTCCTAAAGACAGGGACAATTACACATGATATCAAACTCACATCCCTATTCAATTAGGTGCTGGGCTGTAAATATATATAATAAAGATAAGTATGGTCCATTCACTCAGGTGCTCCGCCACCTATTTCTTGATTGTCAGCAAAGAAAGATCTGAGTGGGAGCATCATACTTGAGCAGATCCATCACTATGACAATCACTCCACTGTCAATGCACTTAGCCAAAGGCCCACTGAAGGACTGCCATTCACCTCCTGTGATCCTTATCATTCCACAACATCAGAGTATGTGAGCGGAGCTGGAGCGAGGAACGTCCCCAATTTGACTGGAGCGAGATTCCCAAAGGCTAGAGCGTCGGCCTTCCCACCTGCTCCAATAGCGCTCATTTCACCAGCTCAGGGCATGCCCGGCCCAGCATGCATTTGTAGTCTACTTGTGTGCTGCTATAGCCCCTTGCTTTAGCTACTGTCATGGAGTTCACTAAATATTTTCATAAAGAAACTGATAAAACACACAGGTGAAAAATCAAGGTGACTTACAAAGATAAGGACCAAGAGCAAGAGGGAGTTCGGTGATGTAATGTCCACAAATAAAGAATAATTGTGCTTCTGAAAAGACACATAACCCGAAAGCATGATGGTGTAGTTACTACATGCACATGCTAAAAGTAGGAACGAGGTGGGTAGCTAATTAAGTGTGTCATTGTAGCAAAGTATTTATATACAAAAAAATCAGATCTCTTAAAAGAGATCCTTTATTTTTGTTATATTATCTATACATTTGGCCATCATTGATTTTGGCCCAATTGGCCTGGCATATTCCAACTTACAAGAAGCTTTCTGTTTTGATTGGGTTATTTTGCCTAAACCTTTAGGCCTACACATATATATACACATATATACACACACACACACACACACACACACACATACATACATACATACAGTGAGGGAAAAAAGTATTTGATCCCCTGCTGATTTTGTACGTTTGCCCACTGACAAATAAATGATCAGTCTATAATTTTAATGGTAGGTTTATTTGAACAGTGAGAGACAGAATAACAACAACTAAATCCAGAAAAAACGCATGTCAAAAATGTTATAAATTGATTTGCATTTTAATGAGGGAAAGAAGTATTTGACCCCCTCTCAATCAGAAAGATTTCTGGCTCCCAGGTGTCTTTTATACAGGTAACGAGCTGAGATTAGGAGCACACTCTTAAAGGGAGTGCTCCTAATCTCAGTTTGTTACCTGTATAAAAGACACCTGTCCACAGAAGCAATAAATCAATCAGATTCCAAACTCTCCACCATGGCCAAGACCAAAGAGCTCTCCAAGGATGTCAGGGACAAGATTGTAGACCTACACAAGGCTGGAATGGGCTACAAGACCATCGCCAAGCAGCTTGGTGAGAAGGTGACAACAGTTGGTGCGATTATTCGCAAATAGAAGAAACACAAAAGAACTGTCAATCTCCCTCGGCCTGGGGCTCCATGCAAGATCTCACCTCGTGGAGTTGCAATGATCATGAGAACGGTAAGGAATCAGCCCAGAACTACACGGGAGGATCTTGTCAATGATCTCAAGGCAGCTGGAACCATAGTCACCAAGAAAACAATTGGTAACACACTACGCCGTGAAGGACTGAATCCTGCAGCGCCCGCAAGGCCCCCCTGCTCAAGAAAGCACATATACAGGCCCGTCTGAAGTTTGCCAATGAACATCTGAATGATTCAGAGGAGAACTGGGTGAAAGTGTTGTGGTCAGATGAGACCAAAATCGAGCTCTTTGGCATCAACTCAACTCGCTGTGTTTGGAGGAGGAGGAATTCTGCCTATGACCCCAAGAACACCATCCCCACCGTCAAACATGGAGGTGGAAACATTATGCTTTGGTAGTTTTTTCTGCTAAGGGGACAGGACAACTTCACCGCATCAAAGGGACGATGGACGGGGCCATGTACCGTCAAATCTTGGTTGAGAACCTCCTTCCCTCAGCCAGGGCATTGAAAATGGGTCGTGGATGGGTATTCAAGCATGACAATGACCCAAAACACACGGCCAAGGCAACCTCAGGTCTCCTGAGTGGCGCAGTGGTCTAAGGCACTGCATCGCAGTGCTAACTGTGCCACTAGAGATCCTGGTTCGAATCCAGGCTCTGTCGCAGCCGGCCGCGACCGGGAGACTCATGGGCGGTGCACAATTGGCCCAGCGTCGTCCAGGTAGGGGAGGGAATGGCCGGCAGGGATGTAGCTCAGTTGATAGAGCATGGTGTTTGCAACGCCAGGGTTGTGGGTTCGATTCCCACGGGGGGCCAGTATAAAAAAAAAAAATATGTATTCACTAACTGTAAGTCGCTCTGGATAAGAGCGTCTGCTAAATGACTAAAATGTAATGTAAAAATGCAACAAAGGAGTGGCTGAAGAAGAAGCACATTAAGGTCCTGGAGTGGGCTAGCCAGTCTCCAGACCTTATTCCCATAGAAAATCCATGGAGGGAGCTGAAGGTTCGAGTTGCCAAACATCAGCCTCGAAACCTTAATGACTTGGAGAAGATCTGCAAAGAGGAGTGGAACAAAATCCCTCCTGAGATGTGTGCAAACCTGGTGGGCAACTACAAGAAACGTCTGACCTCTGTGATTGCCGACAAGGGATTTGCCACCAAGTACTAAGTCATGTTTTGCAGAGAGGTCAAATACTTATTTCCCTCATTAAAATGCAAATAAATTTATAAAAATTTTTACATGCGTTTTTCTGGATTATTTTGTTGTTATTCTGTCTCTCACTGTTCAAATAAACCTACCATTAAAATTATAGACTGATCATTTCTTTGTCAGTGGGCAAACGTACAAAATCAACAGGGGATCAAATACGTTTTTCCCTCACTGTATATATGTAGGCCTAAAGGTTTAGGCAAAATAACCCAATCAAAACAGAAAGCTTCTTGTAAGTTGGAATATGCCAGGCCAATTGGGCCAATATATATATATATATATATTTTTTTTTTTTTTTTTTTTGTTGAAAATAAAAACTCTGCATCCCTGCCCAGCCTGGCAAGAATGGCCAAAAGTGTGTTTAGCATCCCCAGTAGCTTTGCAAGCGCGGAGAGGATATTCTCCACTGCTGGCCTGCTCTCCAGGCACCATCGCATGAGCTTGAAGCTACAGACTCTGGCCAAACTGGTGTTTGAATTCAAAAGGCACTGTAGACATTTACGTTTTACATTACATTTATGTCATTTAGCAGACGCTCTTATCCAGAGCGACTTACAGTTAGTGAATACATATTTTTTATTTTAAACATTTATACTGGCCCCCCATGGGAATCGAACCCACAACCCTGGCGTTGCAAACACCATACTCTATCAACTGAGCTACATCCCTGCCGGCCATTCCCTCCCCTACCCTGGACGACGCTGGGCCAATTGTGCGCCGCCCATGAGTCTCCCAGTCGCGGCCGGCTACGACAGAGCCTGGATTCGAACCAGGATCTCTAGTGGCACAGTTAGCACTGCGATGCAGTGCCTTAGACCACTGTGCCACTCAGGAGCTCAGTAGACTGAGCCTAATAAGGCATTTTCCATTTAATTTGTATTTAATTCTAAGTAAGTCACAGCCAATATGACCAATTTATAGACTATAATGATTTAATACTACGAAACGTTGTTTAAATGCTGAGCGCTTAATGTCCCTGACTCCTTACCTTAGTGTGTTGCACTCGCAAATGCTTCACAATGTATTTCTTTGTAGGCTATAGCCTTGAAATAATATAGCCTAAATAATTCATTTCCGTTCCTTCTTAGGCTCCCTGTCTGGCTCCTGACCTATTTAGAGTGTTTATATGCTGTTTAATATGACATGTAGCCTATTTATACAATGTGCGCTTCTTACATTCACCGTTTCATGTTTGTCAAAATACTTTTCATTCAAATCATATGGTTTGGTTTAAATACTTCAAAACCAAAATGGTAGGTCCAGGTAGTCACAAAAATAGATGGGTGTTGGTTAAATTGTGATTTTAATAAATGGAGCGGCAGCTCAACTCCGCTCACATACTCTGCACAACATGCATGCACGTATCCATACGCAGAACATTGATCGTCCATGTTGATACTATGATAATTCAACAGAGCGGTAAATGCAAAACCAGGATTGGATGTTTGTAATCATGCAGGTGTATTTGGGATCATCTGTGACCTAGAGTAGGCAGCAGAAGTCCAGCTGAATTAATGAAAGGATCCCATTATATGATTAGACTGGGGGGGAAAAAGACACACACAGGTTTCCTGTCCCTTATCTCAACTGTACTCTACTCTACTCTCCTATTCTCCCTACCCTATGCTGTATTGACTGGTTGAGCAATACTATACAGATTCCTACTCCTTTCTTATCAGTGTACTAGGCTAAGAAGTGCTGCTAACCTTTGATCCATGGGAGGTCTTGGTCTTCTTGGGGTCTGAGAAGGCAGACAGTGGGATGGTGGGGAGCATGGGGTAGTCTGGACTGGGCCTCGACACCGCCTCCGCCCCTTCAGGCACCACCATGACCTGAGAGAGAGACAAACAGGGAGAAGAATGAGAACAAACACACCAGGGTTGGGGTCAATTCAGAATTGAGTTGCGATTTGCTCTTTAATTAGTAGAAATGGCTTATTTTTTCTACACATCACCATAGAAATGTTTATTTTACATCATGTTTGGTTATCAATACCATGTAGTATAAGGTTGAAGCATAACATTTCATTTTTTAAACTCATTGTCCTAAAACAATTTTAAATAATTAAAGTGGTCTGAAAATATTCTAAGATCATGTTGTGGGTTGTCTATAACCATTCATAATTCCCTTAATGTTTTTCAATATCAGAATACATTTCCCAGAATTCATTACATCAAACACTGCAGTATGGAAGAAAACAATCTAACATCTCATGACAAAGAAAATACTGTTTGACATCTGAGTTATAATCAAACTAATATGTGAAATGGTATGTGTATTCTTTGCATTAATAAGTGACATTTGTCAAATTAATGAGACTTTCATGTTTCATGTGTTAGTTGAATTGGTTTGAATTAAATTCTACTTCCTTCAATTCAAATTCTGCTTCCTGTGGGGTGTGGCCAATTCCAATTAATTGTTTGAATTCAATTCAACCCTGAAACACAGACAATGTTCCCTCTTGCCATTCCATTTCCCACTTATTCCAACCAATCCCACATCCACCCTGTACCCCATCCCCAGCTCACCCCTCCAGCCTTGACCAACTTGCGTCTGAACTCCCGGGTGGGGTTGTTAAAGGTGAGCTTTTCACAGCGCAGGTGATTGACAGGGGGGTTCCCCTCCAGGTTCAGGAAGAGGTCATAGTTGAAGCACACCTTCTTGGGCTCCTCCTGTAAATAATAATGAATTCACATATCTAATTAGCCCAGCGCCACCGAGCCCTGTTAAGCCCTTATCCAAATATTATCAGCTAACAGTAAGAATAAGCGATTCCCCGACCAAGTCAATAAGAGGCATGCCTGGAGTGCACACTCTGATAAGCGCTAACATTCCACATTGGGAGAGAACTTCAGCAAACAGTATGACATTTTGGTAAACAAATGGATTCTTTCTGATCACCCGCCACTTTCAGATCATGCCAGGAGTCATAGGGTTACAGATACAGGACACAGTAAAAACATTCACAGCAGACATACCAGATAAACGTAAGGCCTTTTTAAAACAGGCGCTACAGTGACATGAAGAGGAGTTGCAGCCAGACAGAGACAGCTGACAAGACACCAGCCAGACCAGCAGCCAAAGGCCCACTACCAGCATGACCAGTGTCACCACACACAGCCCCAGTATCACATGCACCTAAACCTGGTGTCTACACCCACACAAATACTGTCACATGACAGACTAAAAGCAGAACATGAACCATTGAGGAAATTAAACAGACACATGCGCGCATGTTGAATACCAACCAAATGACATGAATATTGACCAACGACCCTCAGAAAAACACCCATCTTATTCAGATTGTGCCGGTTAATATAAACAAGCCATTGTAGGAGAACTATATCAGATTTGATTTCAGGAAAAGGCCTAGAGCACCAGAGGAACTCTAATCCATTAGGAATCACGTAACAGTGGCCCATATCCTGAGGGATAGATTGACACTGTTAACATAGTACCATTACAGAGGCTCTGACGGAGCTCTCACCTTGTTCTTGAAGTAGACCTCGATGGGCATGAGGAACCCAGCGTAGCCTGACTCCTCCACTTTGTATGGTGGCTCCTTGCATACTGCAGAAACAACACCGGCACAGCATCAACATACATTCAGGAGGATAACATCAATGGCCATTGCTAGAAGGCTAATGGTGAACTAGCTCCAGCCTCCCATAGAGAGCCAGTCATTACAACCTGAAGATAAAAGCTTATGGGAGCAATAATGTGCAATAACCATAATGACTGTGGACAGTGACACAAAGATTTGCAGTGACTTAATGAGGAGAGATGTGCCTGGTCTGGAGTACACCATAGAAGACATCATGTTTATTGACGTTCAGCACGAATGGACAAAATCTGACCGAGCAACATGCGTGTTTGATGTAGTAGGTAACCCTCTGTAGGCCTTGTGTGTTTGCACTACACGCTACCGCAGAATACATTTTACAATATTGATTTAAACTGTTGTCAAGGTGAATCCAAGGTGAATCCCCACCCCCAAACTTTGGTTCTGAAATCCCCATCACCCACTAATTAACTTGCATTTTTTGCAGATTAAGTGTGAGCTAGTAATGCATCAATATTTATCGTTTACAAATTAGCAATGACATAGCCAATGAATATATAGCTAGCACAACTTTGGATTTCAGCCCCATCTCAAAATCAAATGGTTTTGACCGTTTGAACATTTTTAACTGAGAGATCTTCTTTTCTCCTCTCACGTCGGCCATGCAGTGCGCCTCACAAAGGTGATGAATGTCCTCATTTTGAAATTATCAAATGTACCATGTATATCTAAAAATGACCATATACACTGAATTTTTAAAGCAAAACTACCAAAAATATTGCTGATGGTGAACATGAACAATCAAAATAAATTATATTGTACGCCTTGTTCAGCAGGTATAGCCAGATGAGAGATGTCTCTCCAGTAGCTTACTTGGGTAAAACACCATTTCCAACAGTGCATAGCTAACAGTAACCTAGGAAATGACATAGTTTGGCACTAAACTAATAACGCTTAATATCACACTAGCCATTTTATCATTTCAATGCTGAAGGTGCCGCGCAGATGTGCAAGATCAGGAACAGGCCACCTACCTCGCGTTGGTCAGCGTGCAAAGCTGGGCACAGCGCACAGTTTGACTAGGCTATTGATATTGTCTGGGGTTGTTCGGAATGCAAAATTACTTCTAGATCAATGACTGTCAACACAGTTACATGCAGTTCGACACCGAAGGAGAGGACGCATCAGTTGTCACAAAATATGAGGTATTTTCAGAAGGTAGAAAGAATGTAACGAGCAAAAAAATGTAGGAGCTGGTGATTCATAACGTTTTAGTCGATTTTCTGACCTATGCATGCTGCATTTGGATCGGTTCAGGGTCCATGGACCGATGCACTTCTATCTTAAACATTTGAATCGGGGACCGATGCGTATCAGTGAATTGTTACATCCCTAGTGAATCCCTTCTCCCCTCCCCAGACAAAAACAAACAAAGTAATCATAGAACCAGTTTCAGCCAGGTTTGTGTGTGTGTGTGTTTGCGCACGAGCAAGTGTTGTTGTTGCAAGTGTGTTTTGTCCGACCCACCTCTCTTGGGTTTGGGGAAGCTCTCGTGCAGCCGGAAGACGACCTTCTCCACAAAGTGTTGTATGTCCCCCGTCTCAGGCCCTCGCACAAACACCATCCAGTCATGGGTGAAGCCCTCCGAGGTCACCTTCTTTCTCAACTGGGCTCGGTGTCCTAGCTCCAGCTTCACCTGCACTGTGCACTGCAGACACAGAGACAAGGTCAGACATACAAAAAAAGCTATTAGCACCTGAAATTGATCACTCATCGCAAGTTAGTAGCTAAGATAGGAAATAGTTTAGTTTATGGAAATTACAATTATTTGATACTACAATTTCAAAAAGGTTTGTTTTTCTGGGATGGTCACATCAGAAACTACACAGACTGTGATTCGTTACCGAGAACAATGATAGTAGTTGGACGGACATCCAAATGACATGCTGCAGCGATCGGGACAGCTACTAAAGAGGGATTGGAGGGATTGGGGGGAGGGACAGCTACTAAAGAGGGATTGGGGGGGAGGGACAGCTACTAAAGAGGGATTGAGGGGGAGGGACAGCTACTAAAGAGGAATTGGGGGGAGGGACAGCTACTAAAGAGGGATTGGGGGGGGAGGGACAGCTACTAAAGAGGGACTGGGGGGGAGGGACAGCTACTAAAGAGGGATTGGGGGGAGGGACAGCTACTAAAGAGGGATTGTGGGGGGGGGACAGCTACTAAAGAGGGATTGTGGGGGGGGGGACAGCTACTAAAGAGGAATTTGGGGGGAGGGACAGCTACTAAAGAGGTATTGGGGGGAGGGACAGCTACTAAAGAGGGATGGGGGGGGGGGGACAGCTACTAAAGAGGGATGGGGGGAGGGGGGAGGGACAGCTACTAAAGAGGGATTGTGGGGGGGAGGGACAGCTACTAAAGAGGGATTGGGGGAGGGACAGCTACTAAAGAGGGATTGGGGGGAGGGACAGCTACTAAAGAGGGATTGGGGGGAGGGACAGCTACTAAAGAGGGATTGTGGGGGGAGGGGGGAGGGACAGCTACTAAAGAGGGATTGTGGGGGGGAGGGACAGCTACTAAATAGGGATTGTGGGGGGGGGGGGGACAGCTACTAAAGAGGGATTGTGGGGGGGGGGGGGGGGGGACAGCTACTAAAGAGGGATTGTGGGGGGAGGGACAGCTACTAAAGAGGAATTGTGGGGGGGAGGGACAGCTACTAAAGAGGGGATTGTGGGGGGGAGGGGCAGCTACTAAAGAGGGATTGTGGGGGGGAGAGGGGAGGGACAGCTACTAAAGAGAGATTGTGGGGGGGGAGGGACAGCTACTAAAGAGGGATTGTGGGGGGGAGGGGCAGCTGCTAAAGAGGGATTGTGGGGGAGGGGCAGCTACTAAAGAGGGATTGTGGGGGGAGGGGCAGCTACTAAAGAGGATTGTGGGGGGGAGGGGCAGCTACTAAAGAGGGATTGTGGGGGGAGGGGCAGCTACTAAAGAGGGATTGTGGGGGGGGACAGCTACTAAAGAGGGATTGTGGGGGGAGGAGGGACAGCTACTAAAGAGGGATTGTGGGGGGAGGGACAGCTACTAAAGAGGAATTGTGGGGGGAGGGGGACAGCTACTAAAGAGGGATTGTGGGGGGAGGGACAGCTACTAAAGAGGAATTGTGGGGGGAGGGACAGCTACTAAAGAGGGATTGTGGGGGAGGGACAGCTACTAAAGAGGAATTGTGGGGGGAGGGGGACAGCTACTAAAGAGGGATTGTGGGGGGAGGGACAGCTACTAAAGAGGGATTGTGGGGGGAGGGACAGCTACTAAAGAGGAATTGTGGGGGGAGGGACAGCTACTAAAGAGGGATTGTGGGGGGAGGGACAGCTACTAAAGAGGGATTGTGGGGGAGGGACAGCTACTAAAGAGGGATTGTGTGTGGGGGGGGGGGGGGGGCAGCTACTAAAGAGGAATTGGGAAAAGAGAGAGAGGGACAAGGGGACAGAAAAGGCACTTTATGTCCAGGCCTGAAGAATGTGGGGATTTGGCGCCTTCTCTCCACAGTGCTCGTGAGCTGTGACTGAGTGGAGGGATTAGGGGACAGGATTGAGATGAGTTGGTCTGGGACTGAGCCTCACACACACCCAGCCCTGGCGTCTTGCCCGGCCATTCTGTGGCAGTAATGCCCTTAAACTCCAGACGCCACCACACCCTGGTTCAGCGCAGCAGCCATTGAGCCCCTCCCCATCGACCAACCAGCTCCCCAGGATTACTGGCATCACCAAATACAGCTCAGAGACGACCCCATTCATACACTGAGATTATCACAAACAAAATAGGTCCGTGATGGTTGGCATTGACAATGACTCGAGGAAAAAGACAAGAGCACCGTCTACCCTGATGCTCACGGAATAAAGATTCTTGATTCATTTGAAACATTTATGGAGACAGAATGACGTTCAGTAACTTAATTTGGTTCACTTCCCTGCCACAACAGAGAGATAAAAAAATACATTGAGCCCCCATCTAAAATTGATATTCTGAAGGGAAATGCCCTACTTCGCAGACAAGCAGGCTCTCACAACAATGAACCCACACGTGCCATGAAAATAACACCCCTCATGACTAAATTAGGCCTAATCTCCACTAAGGGAAAAATCATCTGAAAGTCTCCTTTGATGAGGCACACAGACAAAAAATAAAAGTTGGCAAATGTTGCTGCGCTCCCTCTGAAAACAACCTGCTTCTCGCTGCTCGAAGACAACAGACTACTCTATCAACAGACCAAAACAGGACACACCTGCAGCACTTTGAGCTCTGTACAGGTGGGCAGGCCCACCAGACACCACAGCCCTTACAGAGATCACACTCCAGTATACTCCAATTATAAAACCATCTCTGGTGCATTATTGTGAACTGAACTGTGATTTCATGATATGGCACAAATCGTACAATGATAGAGTACAGACTAGACGTCATGGTGCACAACAACGAACATCAGTATTCTTTATGACATTTCCAGAAATAAGGCATGTAGCCAGTGGGCATTTAGCAAAAAAACAATTTGTGATGGTCTAGATTTTAGACATACGTTTATTTATAAAAAAGTCTACATCCCATACAAACAAAACTTGAAAAGCACAAAAATACAATTAGTATGTCCTTAGGTGTTTCATGGTTGTTGATGGTGTACAGTTTTGTATTGTTTGCCATTGAGTAATTGGGTTAAACCGGATAAAACGATTAGTCCTTCCTTGTCGTCACGGAATTACACTGTTTGCATGCTTCAAAGGGGGTAACACCGGACAGTGACATGTTCCCACAAGTGGATTCTATGAGTCACTTTGATATGGAAATAGAGTTTGCGTTATCATGATGAGCATGAAAACTCCTACCTAGCTAGAGTAACAGCGGGTCAGAGTTACTGTTATGATATTTGAAAAAGATAAGATGGCCTACTAAGACAATGTGGACATGCATGGACGTTCCATGGCTTTCCCCCCAACCAACCACAGTATCCAGATAGCTGTTACACAATTTGTATGTCTAGGATTTTCAAATATCTTCATCAGTACAGAATCTTTGCCTTTAAACTGGTGATGTAATTCCCGCTTTTCAATTCCAATTCGTCGCCGCTAGATACACACCCCTCCTTCCCTCCCCTACACCCAGACCTGGAAAGAGCAATCCTTTCCACCGGCGTCTTGTAGCAGCTATTTACGTAGCTAGCGAAGGGCCGAGAACCCTAGCAGGTAGTAGCTCGTGCTAAATTAGGTTATGAACCCGGTAAGGAGTAAGTTATACATCTTACTTTCTCAATATATAAGGCCATAACACACAAGCAGGCAATAAATCCCTTTGTGTGCCCGTCTGATTGTGTGGCTAGCTAGCAATGCTGAGTTAGGCTAACGTTAGCCATCAAATACCGATGTATGCGAGTGTCGCTAGCTAGCCAACTATGAGTTCGATTAGCATGATTTTTTCGAGCACCAGGCATTCATTCTTGTCCCTGGCACAGCCTTCTAGTATTTTTTCGGTTAAAAGTTCAGGATTCACGAGGGGGCACAAAAGTCACTTTACCTGATTCTCCATTATTCTGTGGCTTCAGTGATTCTTCTAACGTTATTTATTTACAGCGGCGTTTCGCGAGGTTATTCCCTGCTCCTCATTGTGTGTCAATTTCAGCCTAAACCGGAAGTCAGACAGCACCCCTCCCCTTCCAGACGGCTACTGGCACGCAACCAAAACAGAAAGCTTTCTCACCCAATCAGGTAGGCTACATTTTAAGCCTTTTGTATTGCACCAACCGTAGCACTTCAGAGGTGGGACAAATACAATTCAAGTATTTTATGTAGCGTCTACGAGTGGGCGAGTTCGTTTTACATAGCCCGGTGCCCCGGATGAGCAGGGTTTGCAAATTGTATACCATTCCATTGGTCCTTAAGTGTAATCTCCACTCAACCGGGGCACCGGGCCATGCAAAACGAATTGTTCACTGACAAGGTGCTTGTCGGAATAGGTAAAGCAATAAAGATGTTGGTCCAAATGTGGAATGCACATATTTCATTAGAAGTTACATATAGTAACAGTGTATTTCCTCACAATTGAAAATATTCCCAAAGGAGTTCCTGTCCTTAATTGTATGTACCCAGGTGCATGCATGCCAATTAAAACCTCTTCAATGTAAAGTCCCCATATTTGGGGACCCTATTTATTATTTTTTAAATTCAGTCTAGTATGAGAACGGTAGCCTCTTAATGCAAAAGCAGGGTGTCTGCGGAAAGCTGAGTATATTGGCTATTGATCGGTGCCTCCAAATCTTTGGTATGACTTACTACTATATGGGTATACAGATTTATAACGGGCAGGCCGAGCCGATGACCTCATTTCAAGATGGCTGCTACCTACGTTCCGGTTAGCGTTGTGAAGCGTAAACGAAATAAACACGGAATACGTTGATACACACCGAAAGCAGGGACTCCACAGATCATGAGGATATCTTATTTGTCAGCATGTGACCTACCTTTATTGATCACCATCCCCGAGAGTCAAATGTTTATTTTACACAACGTTTTCACCAAACAGCAAACATCTTACAAGGTAAGCTTAGATTTGGTCTGTTTGAGCTATAGCTACATGGGGCGTATATCAAATTAATCCTTAGATTGGTAGGAACAAATCTAGCATATTGCCAATGTTATCTGATGATGTATGACTTAATGGCAACATCAAATGTCCACCAAGTGACTATATCTTTGCGCATCAAAAATATGATGCCTGCATATGCGCTGTAGGCATCCATATACCCTGTATGTCCCCCGACACCACCACAATGTTGTAGAGAGGTTGTTGTTGTTGTAGAAACTTAGTTTTTATACTGAACAATAACTTCTAGGCACATCCAGTGTGCAAAAACAGTTCAATTACCACATTCGGACACTTTGCAGAGGTTGAAAGGACACTTGAATGTACCCTGGATACCCCATTAAACCACAACAATGTTTTAGTGAGGTTGATATGGTAGAAATTGTGTTTAATACTGAACAAATAGCATTTAGGGATTGCAAATATGTAATACCACTGGAATTATCTAATTTACAGACATATGCCACTTTCAGGGACGGCTTGTTCAATAGGGCGATATGGGCGACGCACTGCCAAACGGGAAAAGGAAGGGATTTTTTTTCTAATCAATTATATCACGGCAACAGCAGTTATCAGTGTTCACGTCTGATCTGCCAGCCACTAAATGTCAAATCAGGCTAAAGTCGCGCTTCAAATGGCCCCGCCCGTTTTTTGGGCGATTTCAGTCAGGTTGAAAATCGCCCAGAAGTCTCTCATAGCCTGTCATGTAAAATCTATTTTTTTCACATTTCAAAGCTTTCAATACATTCTCTATGGGTGTCTGTGTGCATGCACTTACGCGCTTTCGTCATACGTGACGTAACGTTGAACGTAACTAAGACAATGGCGGCTAGCAGAGTCTATGTTGCGACCTGCTGTGTGGCGTTATTTTATGTTTTTAATTTGTAGACTTAGTTTACAAACATTCTGCAAACATTCTGCTTTGGACTGATCTTCGGTTTTGGACTGATCTTGTTGATCGTGTACATACCCGCTAGGAACGGACTAAATAATGAAAACGCTGCTGGCAGCGGAATCCCAATACAGCTGGGAGACTTGACTGGATGACAGAGTCCCGGACAGAGAGGTGGAGCCGGCCACCTTCACCCTGGTCAGAGCGGACCGCGATCCTGGTAAGAGAGCGACTCTGTACCCCGACATTGAACTGCTTTCTGTGTCATTGAACCTTACTATTGTTGATAAAACAAGTTTACTGGAGAACGGAGAAAAAGTAGAGACTTTTGGACAAGGTGGATAATTGTATAATATAAGGCAGTTTATTCAGAGGTAAAGATATCTGGAATCGCGTGCACGGACCCGTTCGTCAAACTCGTAGGGAGTTTATCAGAAGAGCCCCTAAACATTGTGTGCTGACATTTTATACAATAAAATGAAGTAGGTTGAATCTAGTAGTTCTGATCTTCTGATTGGTCCTGATGAGTTGGGCGATGTCACCTCCAGGCTAGTGTCACTGTTGCATTGGCTCTGAGTCGGGTTCTCTGTCTTCAGATGTTCAGCCTAAGAGAAGAGGATTTGTGTGTGTGTGTGTGTGTTTGTTATCAGTGTGTGTGTGTGTGTTTGTTATCAGTGATGATGTGTGTGTGTGTGTGTGTGTTTATCAGTGATGATGTGTGTGTGTGTGTGTGTGGGTGTGTGTGTGTGTGTCCTCAGGGCAAGAACTCGTGAGTTGGAAGAACTGAGAGACCTATGGCGTGGGTGTTATCCTTAGCCACCTGCTGACAAGGCTGACAAGATAGGACTCTTGTTCATTGTATTGAATACAAAGGCCCAACACAAAATGGGTCATGCACAAGATTTTAGTCAGACCAAGCTATAACATTATATATTTACTACGACAGTACATTCAACCAAAAGCTAATATAACAAAGGCATCAGAGATTATTTATAATCTGTCACAGAAACTGGAATCCATCTCCCCAGATCAGTCAATAAATGCTTCTGGTATTGACTTATATGCTGCCCCTGTCTTCATGTTGTTGCTGGACATATATTTTTTAAAATGTGTGTAGGTCACCTAAATCATCAGAAAAATTGCCCCTCCTGAGAATTTTTTCAGGAGCCGCCACTGGCCACTTTGGAGAGGTTTAGGGACACTTGGAAACGTCCCGTGACCACACCTGACACCACTTACTAAAACATCTGCCCATTTCTAGTTTCTAGTTCTAGTCTATCAATCCCATTGTATTTTCTGATATTGTTCACATGTTGTGGAAGCCATCTGATGTGTTTCCAGCTCTAGCAATCAATAATATACTTATAGCTTGCCAATGAAAGTTGGCAAAAACGTTTATTTTGTGTGTGCTTGATCTTGTGTATTCTGAACTATGTAACTCCTATCTTTCTTCTGATCATTTCCTTATAATCTCCCAGATGTCTTCTTTCCAAATATACCAAGTTGTTGCATGTTAGAATCATGTAATTACACATGAATAGCAGTTACTTTAGGGTATGTCTATTTAGGCGGAGCATAATTGAAACTGAAACATCATTGACATTTAAACATTTAAATTGTAATCAATTGGTGACATTGACATTAGTCATAAAATTAATTGCATTGCTTTCTACTAATGGGTGAAATTTAAAAACGTCTTTGATTTTGCTGATGGTAGGTTCTATCATATTTTGCTTTAAGGTAATACTGAGCATTGCATAGCATAGCATTGCATAGACCTGCAGGACATTGCAAATGGGCCTACATCAGAATACCAAATATGTCTGTGTTTGCTTAGTTTGAGACCATGACTTCCACTGCTATATGTTCATGAAAAGGGCAGAATAAAAACAACAGTTATATCCCACCAGCCACAGATGGAGGAGGCCTCCAAACTCTGACCCTTGACTTTTCTTTCAGCGCAGCATAATGCAAAGATCATGACAGACACAATCTGCTTTCTATGCTGCCACAAATGTGATGGTGTACTGGCTCTATTTCCAATGGTTAATAGAGAGCAGCATGGCTCCTAATAGAAGACGTCTATAGCCTCACAGAGACACAGGGACTAGAGGCACGCACTCTGCAGCGTAGCCTGTGGCGGTGGACAATTTGATGTGTGCTATTGGGCAGAGGGTCAGAGCTCTCTCTCAGCCCTGGCCTCTCTGTCACTCACACTGATCCAGTCTTTGAGGCATGGATCATTCTTTTTGAAACCCCCACCTGGCTGTCAATATAAACGTAACTTAGTCTATCTATTTTGCTTCTTCACTATTGAAGTGGTCACCACGTTTGATTAAGCCATCACTGAAAGGGTTTTCAATGGAATTGTATAAAATGTACAAACGCACAGACACACATATAGATCATTCATAAGGGTTGTTGTTACCCAATATGTAAGTCATACATAAAGTCAATGGTTGTTACATATTTACAACTTTACAGGGCTTACAAAATAAATACAAATATATTCTAATCTGTACACTAGATGTCACTGTTGCTGCTGAAAGTTAAGGAATATCATGTTCATGCCCCAATTTCTTTGTGTCAGAGATCTATTGCGTCTTTCAGGTAAGAATAGGGCTTTGAAAAAATGTCTACACTGTACCAAATGATTAAACATTTCTAGTTCATACTCCATTTATTTTCTTTAGTGGGGATTTCTGGTGGGTTTTCATTTTCCTTTTAGCAATGATCCTGATACAAAACACTGCAGAGGTAGCAAAAATATAAAGGTTTCAACCTTCTAGATGAATTTCTTTGCATTATGTCTGATGCTCAATAGATTGTTCAAAGTTACAGTTCATATAAGGAAATCAGTCAATTGAAATAAATTCATTAGGCCCTAATCTGTGGTCCTCTGTAGCTCAGCTGGTAGAGCACGGCGCTTGCAACGCCAAGGTAGTGGGTTCGATCCCCAGGACCACCCATACACAAAAATGTATGCACGCATGACTGTAAGTCGCTTTGGATAAAAGCGTCTGCTAAATGGCATATTATTATTATTAATCTATGGATTTCACATGACTGGGCAGGGGCGCAGCCATGGGTGGGCCTGGGAGAGCATAGGCCTACCCAATGGGGAGCCAGGCCCAGCTAATCAGAATGAGTTTTTCCCAACAAAAGGGCTTTATTACAGACAGAAATACTCCTCAGTTTCATCAGCTGTCCGGGTGTTTGGTCTCAGACGATCCCACAGGTAAGAAGCCGGATGTGGAGGTCCTGGGCTGGCGTGGTTACACGTGGTCTGCGGTTGTGAGGTCGGTTGGACTTACTGCCAAATTCTCTAAAACGATGTTGGAGGCGGCTTATTGTGGAGAAATGAACATTCAATTATCTGGCAACAGCTCTGGTGGACATTCTTGCAGTCAGCATGCCAATTGCATGCTCCGTCAAAACTTGAGATACAGTGGGGGAAAAAAGTATTTAGTCAGTCACCAATTGTGCAAGTTCTCCCACTTAAAAAGATGAGAGAGGCCTGTAATTTTCATCATAGGTACACGTCAACTATGACAGACAAAATGAGAAAAAAATATCCAGAAACTCACATTGTAGGATTTTTAATGAATTTATTTGCAAATTATGGTGGAAAATAAGTATTTGGTCAATAACAAACGTTTCTCAATACTTTGTTATATACCCTTTGTTGGCAATGACACAGGTCAAACGTTTTATGTAAGTCTTCACAAGGTTTTCACACACTGTTGCTGGTATTTTGGCCCATTCCTCCATGCAGATCTCCTCTAGAGCAGTGATGTTTTGGGGCTGTCGCTGGGCAACACGGACTTTCAACTCCCTCCAAAGATTTTCTATGGGGTTGAGATCTGGAGACTGGCTAGGCCACTCCAGGACCTTGAAATGCTTCTTACGAAGCCACTCCTTCGTTGCCCGGGCGGTGTGTTTGGGATCATTGTCATGCTGAAAGACCCAGCCACGTTTCATCTTCAATGCCCTTGCTGATGGAAGGAGGTTTTCACTCAAAATCTCACGATACATGGCCCCATTCATTCTTTCCTTTACACGGATCAGTCGTCCTGGTCCCTTTGCAGAAAAACAGCCCCAAAGCATGATGTTTCCACCCCCATGCTTCACAGTAGGTATGGTGTTCTTTGGATGCAACTCAGCATTCTTTGTCCTCCAAACACGACGAGTTGAGTTTTTACCAAAAAGTTATATTTTGGTTTCATCTGACCATATGACATTCTCCCAATCCTTTTCTGGATCATCCAAATGCACTCTAGCAAACTTCAGACGGGCCTGGACATGTACTGGCTTAAGCAGGGGGACACATCTGGCACTGCAGGATTTGAGTCCCTGGCGGCGTAGTGTGTTACTGATGGTAGGCTTTGTTACTTTGGTCCCAGCTCTCTGCAGGTCATTCACTAGGTCCCCCCGTGTGGTTCTGGGATTTTTGCTCACCGTTCTTGTAATCATTTTGACCCCACGGGGTGAGATCTTGCGTGGAGCCCCAGATCGAGGGAGATTATCAGTGGTCTTGTATGTCTTCCATTTCCTAATAATTGCTCCCACAGTTGATTTCTTCAAACCAAGCTGCTTACCTATTGCAGATTCAGTCTTCCCAGCCTGGTGCAGGTCTACAATTTTGTTTCTGGTGTCCTTTGACAGCTCTTTGGTCTTGGCCATAGTGGAGTTTGGAATGTGACTGTTTGAGGTTGTGGACAGGTGTCTTTTATACTGATAACAAGTTCAAGGTGCCATTAATACAGGTAACGAGTGGAGGACAGAGGAGCCTCTTAAAGAAGAAGTTACAGGTCTGTGAGAGCCAGAAATCTTGCTTGTTTGTAGGTGACCAAATACTTATTTTCCACCATAATTTGCAAATAAATTCATAAAAAATCCTACAAAGTGATTTTCTGGATTTTTTTTCTTCTCAATTTGTCTGTCATAGTTGACATGTACAGGCCTCTCTCATCTTTTTAAGTGGGAGAACATGCACAATTGGTAGCTGACTAAATACTTTTTTCCCCACTGTATGTTTATGTGGTTGTATAAAATGTCTTAAACTTAATTAGTTTAGTTCAGTTCACACATAATATTATATTATCCCTGAAAAGGGTGACAAAAGTAAAGTTATAGGTTATATAAACAAACTCTACAAGCCCTTTAACCCTGAAATGTTGTGGTTGTGATTCAGCCCTACATCTAATCATGTTATCATACCAAAACACAGATAAATACAAAATGGTTTTATAAAACATGATGTGCGAGGGACTCCCGAGTGGCGCAGCGGTCTAAGGCACTGCATCGCAGTGCTTGAGGCATCACTACAGACCCGGGTTTGATCCCAGGCTGTGTCATAGCCGGCCATGACCGGGAGACCCATGAGGCGACACACAGCGTCGTCTGGGTTAGGGGAGTGTTTGGCCAGCTGGGCGCCTCCTTGTGGCGGGCCGGGCACCTGCAAGCTGACTTTGGTCGCCAGATGGACGATGTTTCCTCCGACACATTGGTGCGGCTGGCTTCCGGGTTAAGCAAGCAATGTGTCAAGAAGCAGTGCGGCTTGGCAGGACCATGTTTCGGAGGACACATGGCTCTCGACCTTCGCCTCTCTCGAGTCCGTAGGGGAGTTGCAGCGATGGGACAAGACTGTAACTACCAATTTGGATATCACGAAAAAGGGGTACAAAAAAACAACAATACATGATGTGTGGAGAATATCCATGCATATATGGACTCAAATTACAGATGAGTGCATTAATCAATGAACACAAAATGCATACAAACATACACACATTCATTCTCTCACACGTATACACCAAACATACTATGCAAACATCGAACTTGATGACCTGAGTGGCGTTGATTCTACTATCATATCAAATAAGAAGCAATCTAATGAATTGCAACCATTTCTCAAAACTGAGTCACTGCTAAGTAAAACGAAAGGCACAGCTTTTTTACAGTTTTACTTGCATGGCACTACATAGCACATTTTATCACCAAAGCCATCAAGTTGTCTCTTGCAGAAGTTGAAAGTTCTCTAGCATATTTTCTGAGTCTTGGTGGTTCCTTTCAGGACGATGTAAGGCAAGCCCAGGGCACAGTTGTCACTGGGCCAGTACTGAAGGCCTGGCAGGGAGTAGGGTATCTCATAGTTGGCATCCAAGTAGGCTATCAGGGTGCTTGCGTAGGCTACAGCCATCACAATCAGAATGTGCCTAGAGAGTGAATAGACACGTCAGTCTGTTCATGATTATTCACAACATCAAGAGAATATTATATCTAACTTCTATTCACATCAGTTTAGTTTTTGTCCTCTACCCTACTCTTACCAGATGCCATGCAGGTAGCAGAAGTTGAGCTTTTGCCAGAGGCTGCATCCGAAACGGCCACTGATCCAACATGTGATTGCCATCAACCACAGGCCAACAGCAGACCAGCATAACCATGACCTTCTGGTCAGTACAGCTGTGAGTGAGGAAAATAAAGCAGAGCGATAAACACAGAAAGAGCGAGAGAGATAGAGGAAGAAAGAGAGTGAGAGTGAGCAATAGATAGACAGAAAGCAGTTATCAGACAGTGAACTACAGCCAGAGACAGTAATGTACAGTACATTAATGGGAGGTATTGCCTTACATCTTCATCTCCAGACCCAATGAGTAGATGTGGAAGGCAAAGCAGTTGAGGACGTAGGCGTTGGCAGTGGGTTTGACAAAGGAGCACAGGGTGGTGACAACAGTGATCACCATGACCAGCCGGGAGAAAGTCGTCCTGCAGGGGGCGAGAGAGAGAGACCGGGTTAGGGGTGGGGTGTAGGAGACACACAATGAACTTGAAGACAGTTGACAGGATTCACACGGCAGCACAGAAAACACTGGAAGGTAAATCAATGGGGACTATTGAACCAGGTGCCCTTTTTATAGTCAAATTGGGATTATGTTCACACTCTCATTAATATTGCATTCATCTTTTCCCACCCTTTACTTTAATATTAACACAGTGTTAATGGGAGAGTCATTCAGAAAGCCAGGGAGCCCCTCTCTCCGACTGGCTGGTGAATATAATACACTGCAGGCTGCTCCTGGCCTGGTTGTCAGGCTCCTGGCTTAGCATGGCTTCTGTTTCAACCTGGCGTGCCCTGTAAAAAGATCCTGTCATTGTCTCCTGCCTTATTAACAGCCTACAGTACGTACTGCCGTTTGTTCCATACAGAGAGAACAGGCGCATGATCCTGTAGCAGGGAGAACACACATGGACGCTGCCCCATGGCTACATTGAATAGAGACAGGCAGGCGACACATGGTACATGCTACTTCCAGTATTCACAGACAATGTTTTGGCTACAGAAGCCTTGAGCAGGTGTTATGGTGACCAACCTGTCCTTGATGAAGCAGGGGAATAGCCTGCGTGGGAATAGCCTGCGTGGGAACCAGAGTGTAGCAGAGCCCCAGCACCCACAGGATGGACAGCTCATCCAGCATCTGGCCCATGAAGCTCAGGGTCATGTGGAAGTAGGGAGAGAAGAGACCTGTAGGGAGGGGACACACATTAATGCCCCGTTCCTAAATGGGCTCTAGCCACGGCCCTACCCTGTATCTATGGGGTAAAGGTTAAGAGCTATTATGGAATTCAGAATGAACTGAAAGCAGACCGATGAGGCCACCTTGGGAGTGGTGTTACAGCTTAATGAAGGTTGGCCTGATGTTTGTTGAGACACACACCCACAAAGATCATCATGATCCAGACCAGGTGTACAGCCAGGTTTCTCTCCCTGGCGTAGGGGTGCAGCAGGTACAGCATGATGGGGGAGATCACGAAGAAGAACAGACTGCTCATCTGGAGAAACAGGAAGGAGTGTTCTAAAAGAGGGATTCACAATGTAATGCAGTGAGTGATGCACCTGTCCACTATATCTGTCATCATTGTGGCCATAAATGATTGTCCTCCTCGAACAGATGCAATACAACAATTAGACAAGTGAACTGCAATGTAGTTTTAAAAAGGTACAGTAAGCACAGAGGCGTATATCTCAGCTGGATATTGTAAGAAATAAATAATGTTCACTTACAGTGTTGAAGTACTCCACTATGTGTTCAGAGTGCCTGTAGTTCGCCTCACACCAGTCCAAATAGGAGCTTTCATAGGAGAACACACCTGTCATCTTCTCACTAGAAGAGAACCCTGACGGGGAGAAAGAATAGAGGATGACCATTCAGCCCATTATTTTCTGTTGCTTTCAGAGCTTCCAGCATAGAACACATTGTGACTAACAATGCGGATGTAGCCTTTTTCAAAGACTCCACATGCTGATCCACTTTTTGAACACTCCATAGCAGGGACTGGCTCAAGTGAAATGTCTTGTCTGTTTGTCCCCCTGTTGAAAAGATAAGTAAACATCCAGGAGTGGCTGCCTTATCATGGGCATTTTAAACCACAGGCACCAAAATGGATGCTTCAGTGTTAATTATGTTGTACTGAATTATAGTACTAGATCCAGCATGAGTAAAATGTCACAAACCAATTATAATAAAGATATATTATATTAGCTATACACTACCGGTCAACAGTTTTAGAACACCTACTCATTCAAGGGTTTTTCTTTATTTTTACTATTTTCTACATTGTATAATAATAGTGAAGACATCAAAACTATGAAATAACACATATAGAATAATGTAGTAACCAAAAAAGTGTTAAACAAATCAAAATATATTTGAGATTCTTCAAATAGCCACCCTTTGCCTTGATGACAGCTTTGCACACTCTTGGCATTCTCTCAACCAACTTCACCTGGATATGGACTTGGTCTTTTACCAAATAGGGATATCTTCTGTCAGTGGCGGCTCCTGAAAAAATTCTCAGGAGGGGCAATTTTTCTGATGATTTAGGTGACCTACACACATTTTTAAAAAGATATGTCCAGCAACAACATGAAGACAGGGGCAGCATATAAGTCAATACCAGAAGCATTTATTGACTGATCTGGGGAGATGGATTCCAGTTTCTGTGACAGATTATAAATAATCTCTGATGCCTTTGTTATATTAGCTTTTGGTTGAATGTACTGTCGTAGTAAATATATAATGTTATAGCTTGGTCTGACTAAAATCTTGTGCATGACCCATTTTGTGTTGGGCCTTTGTATTCAATACAATGAACAAGAGTCCTATCTTGTCAGCAGGTGGCTAAGGATAACACCCACGCCATAGGTCTCTCAGTTCTTCCAACTCAAGAGTTCTTGCCCTGAGGACACACACACACACACCCACACACACACACACACACACACATCATCACTGATAAACACACACACACACACACACACATCATCACTGATAACAAACACACACACACACACACACACACACACACACACTGATAACAAACACACACACACACACACAAATCCTCTTCTCTTAGGCTGAACATCTGAAGACAGAGAACCCGACTCAGAGCCAATGCAACAGTGACACTAGCCTGGAGGTGACATCGCCCAACTCATCAGGACCAATCAGAAGATCAGAACTACTAGATTCAACCTACTTCATTTTATTGTATAAAATGTCAGCACACAATGTTTAGGGGCTCTTCTGATAAACTCCCTACGAGTTTGACGAACGGGTCCGTGCACGCGATTGCAGATATCTTTACCTCTGAATAAACTGCCTTATATTATACAATTATCCACCTTGTCCAAAAGTCTCTACTTTTTCTCCGTTCTCCAGTAAACTTGTTTTATCAACAATAGTAAGGTTCAATGACACAGAAAGCAGTTCAATGTCGGGGTACAGAGTCGCTCTCTTACCAGGATCGCGGTCCGCTCTGACCAGGGTGAAGGTGGCCGGCTCCACCTCTCTGTCCGGGACTCTGTCATCCAGTCAAGTCTCCCAGCTGTATTGGGATTCCGCTGCCAGCAGCGTTTTCATTATTTAGTCCGTTCGTAGCGGGTATGTACACGATCAACAAGATCAGTCCAAAACCGAAGATCAGTCCAAAGCAGAATGTTTGCAGAATGTTTGTAAACTAAGTCTACAAATTAAAAACATAAAATAACGCCACACTGCAGGTCGCAACATAGACGCTGATAGCCGCCATTGTCTTAGTTACGTTCAACGTTACGTCACGTATGACGAAAGCGCGTAAGTGCATGCACACAGACACCCATAGAGAATGTATTGAAAGCTTTGAAATGTGAAAAAAATAGATTTTACATGACAGGCTATGAGAGACTTCTGGGCGATTTTCAACCTGACTGAAATCGCCCAAAAAACGGGCGGGGCCATTTGAAGCACGACTTTAGCCTGATTTGACATTTAGTGGCTGGCAGATCAGACGTGAACACTGATAACTGCTGTTGCCGTGATATAATTGATTAGAAAAAAAATCCCTTCCTTTTCCCGTTTGGCAGTGCGTCGCCCATATCGCCCTATTGAACAAGCCGTCCCTGTCTTCTGTATACCCCCTCTACCTTGTCACAACACAACTGATTGGCTCAAGCACACTTGTTAATTGAAATGCATTCCAGGTGACTACCTCATGAAGCTGGTTGAGAGAATGCCAAGAGTGTGCAAAGCTGTCATCAAGGCAAAGGGTGGCTATTTGAAGAATCTCAAATATCAAATATATTTTGATTTGTTTAACACTTTTTTGGTTACTACATGATTCCATATGTGTTATTTCATAGCGTTGAAGTCTTCACTATTATTCTACAATGTAGAAAATAGTAAAAAGAAAGAAAAACCCTTGAATGAGTAGGTGTTCTAAAACTTCTGACTGGTAGTGTATGTTGTTCAAAGATTACATCATAAATAGATGACAGAGTAGGAAGGACTGTCAATGCACACTGTTCTGCTTTCTCCATCCATACTGCAATCATGTGATGCTCTACAATTAGCTTTGAACCAAAGCAAATGTTATCTTAACACCATGTATGCAAGTAGGTTGCAAAAGACCTTGCATCGATAGACTCAATAAGAGTGAAATTGTCATCATCAAAACACCTGTCACCTGTGGTTATAAATTATTTTAACAACTAAATAGCACGTGTTTTATGGAATTGTATATGACCCCCATCTCAGATGACTAGATAAAATTGATATAGAGCTTACCTCCCATTTTGTAATCCAAACACAACTACTTTCCTCTCCAAGTGGCAGGTGGATTTTAAGTAGGGGACGATCCAGTTGCACTGACATCATGCCCTGGTCTGGCAAGAAATACTACGGTTAAATTGACACAGTTCAAATTTAGACTTTAAGTTCAATGGAAACCAAATACGCATGGGTAAGTTTTACTCATGAACGTAAAACCTGATATCCAACCTCCGCAACAGGCAACGTGCTGTGATCAAACAAATATAACTAAAACCTACAATATTTAAGCATTAAGTTATTCATTATTGGCCTTTTTTTTTAAATGATTGTTTTTAGAGCTAATACATGCGTAAATGGCAAAAGCTGCGGCTTTTCATATTCTGTTTGGGCCAGGTGTGCCCGTGGGGATGACACCAGCGCACGAGTGTGAGGCCACTTCGGTCTGATGTCATCATGCCCTTTGCTTTTGACCGACGGCGTAGGTAGGCAATCTTTCGTTACGCGCGTTTCCAATTGTATTATTCATTTATTCTAGAAGCAAGAAGATTCCTGACAATGTTAATTGAAACTATGCACAAGGAGGTGAGTCGGCATAACTAGGTCAGTCAGCAGCACGCACACCTGTATAATCGTTATCAATAGGGTTTGTCCTATTATGAATGTCTTGACTGGCTTATTGCCTACTCTTTTATAAGTCACATAAGCAGTTCATTACGTCAATAGTGATTAGACTGCATGTTTTATCCCCACTTAATCCCCACACATTGCCATTCATTCAAAAAGTAATCTAGACCAATGCTAGTTTGAAACAAGATGAGGGCCAAAGAGCCCAGACAATCATACAGGTGTATTTTCATGTTAAGAAGTCAGGTCAGTGATGTAAAGCTCCATGGAATGAGGTCATAGTTGAGACCAGCTCTACTGGTCTGTCTGTGGATCATCAGAATAAGCAGGGGATCCTGCTCAGCAACAACACAGTCTGGCTATTATGCCTGTCTCCACAGGTACTAATGACAATACTCAGTTATTAGGGTTAGCAGTAGCCTACCATGTATGTTTAACATGCATCCCATAGCTCTTTGTATGGCTGTATTCATGGCGTATGTAATCTGCTCATAACAGAACATTTGGTTTTAGTTAATTGGTTATCCACTGGTTATTCACTAGGTATGCACTTTTCTACTATGCATATTCAACTGCATATTGTCAAGGCATGTTTTTATACAACATACTTGCTGCATGGTTCAGTAACTGTTCCAATGAATACTATAAACCTGCAGCCACACATTGACCATTGTAATTGATTAGCATTTTAATTTTGAACAAGTGAAGCTCCCAGTTTTATTCACGGCTCACCTGCTGGACCAGTGTTCCCAGCTGAAGAATAATCTGCTGCGCTGCACTCTCTTTTGTACACCTGTCATTCACAAACACCTATAGGAATCATTAGGCTACCAATTCCAGCTAACACATCTGTAATATTCATATGTGTCAGCATACTGAATTGTAATTGGATGCATTCTACCGTCGTATCATACTGCGCTATGATTGGTTAAGACCACCCAGGTGGTGAGGTCATCTTCAGATGATCATGGCCGGAGACACATGAACATGCCAGTTATAGCTAGCTAATAAAGAGCTACGTTTAGAAAGATCCTGTCGTCCTGCATTTGATTATTTTGTACAAAGCATACAAAACAAGACATGGTGTCAGAGTAAAAGGACTAAAATATGGATTTTGCTGGCGTTCCTTCACCTCGAATGGATTGGGGTTCTACATATCTACCCGATGCATGGCGTAAGTTCAAACAGCATGTGGAGCTGATGTTCACGGGTCCTCCTGAAGGAAAGAGGAGAAGAGGAAAAGTGCAGCTACCTGCTCCTCTGGATCGGTGAAAAAGGGAGAGACATTTACAACACATGAACACTTACCAAGGTTGAATCAAAGGTACTGAAAACATACTACGATCGTTTTGAAGCATATTTTGTGCCAAAGACCAATACAATTTTCACTAGGTACAAATTCCATGAGAAAGTACAGGGAGCTAGCGAATCGTTTCAACAGTTTGTGTCTGAGCTGCGTCTGCTTGTGAAAGATTATGCAAACAAGGATGAGATG